AGAGATCAAGTTTAGGCGCTCCCGAGCCATCCAGCCGAGCGCACATGGCAAAGCTCGCTCCTGCTCAGCCTCCAACAGAAATCCATGGAAAAATGGGACTCCTCGGGGAGCCTGCTGATCCAGAGGCTGCAGAAGCACCGGATCAGCACAAGGAGGCTGCTCAAGCAGAAGGAATTCTGTTTGATTAAGCGTGAGCAGGGAATTTTGGCAGAGCCGCGGTTTCAGCTCCATCAGTGCTCGCTGGGATTATCCGTGGGGAAAGGGAAGCTCCTGCCCGGCTCCAGGGAAAAAGCATTCCCTGTTTTCTCTCCTGGGCCTCCAAAGAGATCTCAGGGAGAAAAGGAGGGAGCCTGATGCGGAGAAATGCAGGATTTGGGGGAATTGTTGCTTCAGGCAGGAGGAGGGAGCGGTATCCAAGATAAAGTTACGTAAGGGATGGATCCCAGAATCCCAGACGGCTCTGGGTTGGGAGAGACCTTCAATCCCATCCCATCCCATTCCAGCCCTGCCGCTGTCCCAGGGGCCCAGCCTGGCCTGGGACACTTCCAGGGATTTGCTGTTCCCAAGCTCTTCTCTCCCACCAGACACTTCCCCACATCTTCCCAGCACATTCCAGCTTTTCCTCAGCTTTCCAAATCCCTTTTTCCCCTTCTCCAGCCCAGCAGCTCCAGGGGCGCAGAGGGAAGCTGGAGCTGAAGGCCCCAATCCCAGGAAATCCTGGCTCTGCCGGGACCAAACGTGTTTGTCCACGTCACCAAAAAACATTGGATTTTCCACTGACAGATTTCCTATAACGGCAGCGCTGGGAAAAGATCTGGCTGGGAAAAGATCTGCGGAATGGTCGGCCCTGACAGCTTTAAAGGAATATTTTATCATGATCAGGCTGTACTTAAAAAAAATAAAATAAAATAAAATAAAATAAAATAACCAAATAAAACAAAATAAATAAAATAAAACAAACCAAAATAAAACTAACTAAAATAAAATAAAAAAAATAAATAAAATAAAATAAAATAAAATAAAATAAAATAAAATAAAATAAAATAAAATAAAATAAAATAAAATAAAATAAAACAAAATAAAATAAAACAAAATAAAATAAAACAAAATAAAGGAAAATAAAATAAAATAAAATAAAATAAAATAAAATAAAATAAAATAAATAAAACAAAATCAAGTAAAATAAATTAAAACAAAATAAAATAAAATAAAACAAAATAAAACAAAACAAAACAAAACAAAATAAAAGTCATTTGAAAGCCATTTTTGATATGTGAGTCCGTTTTTCCTATTGTCCTCCCATCCAACACACAAAAAACTCCAAAAATTTGGATGGAAAGATAAAAACACAATAAATAAATTGACCTCTAAAGGTCCCTTCCAACACAAACTATTCCAGAATTCCCATCTTTTATGTTCCACCATCAAAGCTGCTGAATTTCTATTGAGGTTTCTCACTGACCCTGAGAACAGACATCCAAAAAAATCCCCATTTTCAATGGAAATATCGGAATCCTGTTAATTTCAGCCCTTGATCCCCTCAGATTTCTGCATTCCGAGCTCAGATCCCAAGGATCTGAGAGAAGCCTTCCTGTGCTTCCAGAATTCCAGGTTTTTCATGTTTTTAAAAGCAAAACCAGAGGAAAAGGCCTTTGATGCCATCCCTACTTCTTTAATTAAAAAGCCTGGCAGGCTCTGGAGTTCTTTCATCAGCAAATCACGGGATGAGGTTTCCAAAATAAATTTAATGAGTTTGGAAAACAGATGCACAAACCATTCCTGCAGGGTTTTGTCTCCCTCAGATTCCCATTAATGGCTCATTTTTCAGGAATTTTAGCATCTTATCAATCAACTGCAGGATAACACAAAATGATAAAGGATTACGTAATCCCAAACACATCCAGAGGCAAATCCCAGCAGGAAAATCCAGGATGAAAGTCAAATTCTCCCCAGGAACAGCACCAGGAAGCTTCCAATTCTCCATCCCAACAATGGGAAATGAGGACAAAAGATTTGGAAAACAAACCCTTGGAATGTTCTCCCCAGTTCCAGGTTATCCTAATAATGGAGGGGCGGAAGAGACACCCAAAATAACCGGGAATGATCAGCACTGACCCTCAGGAATCATCACCAGCTCCGGGTGCTGAAAAGCCATTGGAGCATCTCCACTGGGAAAGGCTCCAAAAAATGGGAACAATCCCAGTGCCAGAGTGGGGCTCCCGCAGCTCCCAGGAGTGGGAGGAACGCAGAGCCCTCCCCACGCAGGAATTTGAGGTCATGGAATCCTGGAATGGTTTGGATTGGGAGGGACCTTAAATCCCATCCCACCCCTGACACCTCCCACTATCCCAGTGCTCCTGGCCTTGGGCACTTCCTGGCATCCAGGGGCAGCCACAGCTCCTCTGGGAATTCCAGCCCAGTCCCCACCCCCCTAGCCAGGAATTCCTTCCCAGTATCCATCTGAACCTTCCCTCTTTTAGTTAAAACTAAAAATAAAATTAAAAATAATTCCCTTGGCCAATTCCAAGGAATCACCTCCATCACCCTTGGCTGGGACCCCTCCTGTGATTCCTAAAAAATCCCTCAGAGGAGACACTTCCCTAAAGGAAAGGCCTGGCTGGAATCTGGGAAGGGCAGGAGAGCTCAGCTCAGCCCTGCTGCTCTCCCTAGGGAATTCCAGGAAGGATCAGAAGCCCTCAGGGAGTTCCAGGAAGGATCAGAAGCTCCCAGCTTCCCTCCTCCCTGCAGGAATTCACTGGATTCTCTTCCCGCGTCTCAAGCCTGTGATTGAGGAGGGTAAGGAAAGCAGGAAGGAATGTGGATATTTCCCAAAATTCAGATTGCACTGAGGGGCAGCACACGAGCTCCAGCTGGGCAGGAGGCATCCCAGAAAAACCGTTTGGATCCCGTTTCCCAAGGAAAGGCAGCGGAAAGGGGAATTTCCATCAGACTGGTCGGCAAGAAGATCCCACTCAACTCATCGGGAATCTCCCAAAAACCCTCCAGCGCCTCTCCAGCCGGGCACAGCCAAATTTCTGCGGGATATTCCCTCAAAGCCCTCGCTGCTGGAGCTGATCACAGGCAAGGATCAAAGCAGGGAAGGAAGTTCAAGGAAAAAAATTCCCCCCCAGCAGCCGCTGGAGCCAACCAGGAGGCTCCAAATCCACGGGAAAAGACAGAGGTGCCTCAAACCACAGATATTCCGATTCCTAAATCCCTGTTTATCATAAATATGAGAGGGAGAAACACCCAGCACTCCGGATCCCGGCGGTAATCTGGGAGGGATTTGCTGCACAGGGAGAAAGGGGAGGAACGGAATGGGAATAACCCGGGAAATGGGAAGGAAAACAGGATCCTTCAATGATTAAAGGAAGGGAAACAATTCCTCACAAGCACCTGCTGGAGCCAACCTGGAGGCTCCAAATCCACAGCAAAGACAGCTCAAGCCATGGATATCTGGATTCCTAAATCCCTGATTATTGTAAATGTGAAAGAGGGGGAGAAACGCTTCCCTGAATGCTGATCCCGTCAGCCTTCCATTATTATCCCATCCCTGGAAGTCACCAAGGCCAGGCCATGATCATGGATCATGGGTCATGGATCATGGATCATCCTTTCCTGGCCAGAGCAGGGGCTGGACAAGGTGGTCCAGCTGAATTCCCTCCAAATTATTCCACAAAGAGGGAAAAAAAACGGGATTTGAAAAATTTTAGATTTTTTTATGGGTCCAGTCAAAGCTGATCATTCCAGGCCTTCATCCCAGTTCCAGGGTCACATTCCCAATTCTGCACTCAACCTCTCCAAAACCCCTGGATTAATCCCATTTTTCCCTTCCCAGAGGCATCCAGGGATGTGATCCATAGGAAATGCATCCCACCATTCCCATTCTTGCCCTGCCCTCTCCTGCTCTTCCCTTTGCTCCCATTGGAAGATTTTTCCACCTTCCCAACCCTTTCATTCCCTCCCTTTTTATCCGGATCCAGCACATTTTGCTCTATTTTGCCCAATTTTCAGCTCAGCTCCCAAAAATAGGTCACAACATTTGGAACCTTATCCCAATTAAGCTTTAAAGACACAGAAATTCTTTTTTTTTTTGTTTGTTTTTTTCCTTTTTTGCCCATTCCCTGTATAATTTCCAGGTCAATAATAATTCCCAAAACAAAGCCGGGGCTTAAAATTCCAAGAGTTCTTTACAAAAGGGTTTTTCTTCCCTCATTTTGTTTGGAATTAATTTTTTTGAGGAATAAAAACAAGAAACCTGCAAGATCTGGTCTGCAGGTCAGGCCTGCAAATTTTCCATGAGCTTTTCCAGGGAATTTTTATGGAAATATCACAAAATTTTAAGGGAAGTATCAGGAAGTCTTCAGGACAATATGAGGGAGTTTGTAGGCAAATATCAAAGAGATTTTTGGGAAATACCAGGAGGTTTTTTAGGGAAGTATCAGGGAATTTTTAGGGAAATATCAGGGAGGTTTTAGGGAAGTATCAGGAATTTTTTAGGGAAATATCAGGGAGTCTTTAGGGAAATAAGAAGGGGTTTTTAGAGGAATAACAAGGAGATTTTAGGGAATTATCAGTAGGTGAAGATCGGGTTTTTTAGGGAATTATCTGGGGGTTTGATGGGAATATCAGGGAGCTTTTATAGGAATGTCAAGGAGATTTTTGGGAAGTATCAGAGGGGTTTTAAGGAAACGTCAGGGAGTTTTTAGGGAAGCCCATGGAGGATCCACCTTCTTCTCTCTGGGCTGTGCTCTCCTGCCCTGGGGAAGCGGGATGGGAATGCTGGGGCCCAGAGCCGGATCCGGGATATCCCACCCATTCCCTGGGACACTCAGGAACGCCACATCCATCCCAGCCTGGAGCTCCACATTCCCAACCCCACATCCCAGGAACACCAAAATCCACCCCTGGGACACAGCCCAGCGCCAAAACCGGAGAACGCCTCCAAAGGAGCCGGAAGGCACGCGGAGCGCGGAGTTTTCCCAGGAATTCCCACTCACCCGTGGTCTCGACGATTCCCTCGAGGATGACGACGATCTCGAACTGCTCGGTGTGCATGCTGCGCTGGGACAGGTCGTAGAAGGGGCTCTTGGAGTCGATGACGTGGCAGATGGTCAGCGGCGACACCAGGAACAGCTGGTCAGCGCCCGTGCTGAATCCCACGTCCAGCTCCAGCTGATCCAGGGGCAGGAATTCCCCCTCCGGAGTCTGGCGGGACTGCGAGGGACCAGGAGGGGGAAGAGAGATTGGAGCTCCTCATCCCTGGAAGCGCCCAAGGTGAGCTTGGAGCGAGCTGGGGTAGCGGAATCCCTGCCCATGGGATGGGATTGAGCCGCTTCCCACCCAAACATTCCAGGATTCTGGGAATTCACCAGGCGGGATCGGGAATTAAGGACAATGCGGTGCCTGGGGACACAGCCAGTCCAGGGAAACAGGGTGAGCTTCAGGGAGAGGCAAGGAAATCAGGGAATCCCAGAAAGTTTGGGTTGGAAAAGCCCTCCAAGATCGATTCCCAACCATTCCCAGCACTGCCCAAGTGCCACATCCAAGGCTTAGAAATCCCTCTGGGAATGTGACCCCATCCCAGGCTTGGAAATCCCTCTGGGAATGTGACCCCATCCCAGGCTTCGAAATCCCTCTGGGAATGTGACCCCATCCAAGGCTTGGAAATCCCTCTGGGAATGTGACTCCATCCCAGGCTTGGAAATCCCTCTGGGAATGTGACTCCATCCCAGGCCTGGAAATCCCTCTGGGAATGTGACCCCATCCCAGGCTTGGAAATCCCTCTGGGAATGTGACCCCATCCCAGGCCTGGGCAGCTGTGCCAGTGCCTGACCTCCCTTGTCCTTCCCATGGAAAAATCCTTCCTAATATCCAATCTAACACCAGGTGGAATTCCCACAGCACCTCCCTCCCCCAGGATCCGTGGAATTCCCAGGGAATGCAGCACATCCCTCCCAGCGCTGCCGTGTGACAGCTGCACGGGGGATTCAGGTGTTCCTGGATCCAGCTGGGATGTCACACACTCCGGGCTGCTCACAGGGAATTTAGATGGAATTCCAGAGAAACCAGATTTAATTTTACATCTCCCCGATTCCCGGGAAGAATCCAACCCCAGGCAATTCCGCAGGGAACGTTTTGTAAAGGAATTAACCCTGAGTGACCCCTTGGCTCCACATGATGAGGGGGTATTCTGAGCGACATCCAAGCTCTTCCCAATCCCAAAATCCCATCCCAAAATTCCCATTACAGCAGAAGAGCCTTTGCACAGATTTCCCACTTTAAGGCTCTGGGGTTGGTTTTGCTCCTGGCCTGAGCTCAGCAGGAAAAAGAAGGAATATTTCCCCATGGATTAGGGATTCCAGTTCTGCAGGAAAAGAACCTTTTCCATAACACAAACCCTTCCCAAAGGAAATCTGAGCCCCCCTGGGGCTTCCCCTCTCCTGGAACAGGTGAGACACAGCCGGGAATTCCCCAATTCCTGCTCCACATCCCTGGGCTCCAGAAATCTGGGAATATCAGCCAGCCTTGGCAGTGTCCTGGGAACAGGGGTGGCTCTCCCCGCTGCAATCCCTGGCTTCCTCTTTTATCCTCTTTATTTTCCCATTTATTGCTTTCCTTCCCCTCCCCTCCTTTTCCCCTTCTTCCCCCCTTTTCCCTCTTTTTGGTTTTCCTTTCCCCCTCTTTTTTCCTTTTTATTTCCTTTTTATTTCTTCCTTTTGTTTTGCCTTTTTCCCATTTTCTTTTAGTTCTCCTCTTATTCTCCCCTCTGTGGGTCCCTTTTCTTTTCCCTTCCTTGTTTTTCTCTTTTTTCCTTCTTTCATTTTCCCTTTTCCTTTATTTCTTCCCTTTCTCCTCTTCTTCCTCTTTTTCTTCTATTCCTTTTTTTCCTCTTTTTTATCCTTTTTAACTTTTTTCCCCTTTCATTTTCCCTTTCCTTTTATTTTCCATTCTTCATTTTATTTTTTCCTCTTATTTTCCCTTTCATTTTCCTTTCCTCCACTTTTTCCATTTTACTTTTCCCTTTTATTTTCCCCTTTTATTTTGCTCTTCCCCCATTTTTCCTTCTAATTATCCTTTTTCTCCCCTTTTTTTCACCCCCTTCCCTTTTTTCCTCCTGGAAGACCTGGCCCTGCTTTTCATCCAAGCACAAACCTTTCCTTTCCCATATTTCAAATCCAGGGAATTCTTTTGGAGCCACGCTGTTCTGAAGCTCCAACTTTTAAAATTCCCCCTCTGGAACTTCCAGAGCCAAAAGAAAAAACACCAAAAACCCCAACAATTTTCAACTGCTGGACTGGAAACGACTCATTTCTGATCTTTTATAGCTTGAAAGAAATTAAATTATTTAAATATATTTATATTTATATTTATATTTATATTTATATTTATATTTATATTTATATTTATATTTATATTTTATGCAAATATATATCTGCACATTATTAAACGTTTTAAAATAAAATGTATAAATTATATATTGCTAAATATAAATATTTATGATTGCATATGATATAAATAGATGGAAATTCGTTACAATGCAATTTTCCATATTTATCCATATAACTAATTATTTATAAATAATAATTCTAATATTACTAGAAATTAATTCATTTTTATTACATAATATTATTTTAATTAATTAATTATAATATTAATAGAAATAATATTATTTCTATATTAAAATAATTTTACAGCTATTAAAAGGTTATTCCAGGAGGTTTTGAGGAATTCTTTCCCTCAAGGTTTAGGGGACCCCAGCACTGGGCCAGTCCTGATCCTGAAATCCACGGGAAACAGGGATCTGGGAGAACAGGACAACCTCATCAGGAAATCAGGAACATTCCCAAGGGGGATTCTCCCAGGAATGGGGACCCTGCCCTGCCCAGCACCCCCGATCCCACCGGGACACTCCCATTCCTGCCAGGACACCCCTAATCCCACCAGGATACCCCTGATCCCATCGGGATACCCCAAATCCTGCCAGGACACCCTTCCCATGGAAAGAGCACCCACATTCCCTGCACAGAACCCATCCCAAGGGTAGGGCACCCCAATTCCCAGGAGAACATCCATGTTCCCTCCACAGCAGCCACATCCCGAGGGAAGGACACCCCATTCCCTGCCAGACACCCCATCCCAAGGACAGGACACCTATCCCAGGGACAGGACACCCATCCCAAGGACAGCTCACCCATCCCAAGGACAGGACACCCATCCCAAGGACAGGACACCAATCCCAAGGACAGGACACCCATCCCAAGGACAGGACACCCATCCCAAGGACAGGACACCCATCCCAAGGACAGGACACCAATCCCAGGGACAGGACACCAATCCCAAGGACAGGACACCCATCCCAAGGACAGGACACCTATCCCAAGGACAGCTCACCCATCCCAAGGACAGGACACCCCATTCCCTGCTGGACACCAATCCCAAGGACAGGACACCCCATTCCCTGCTGGACACCAATCCCAAGGACAGGACACCCATCCCAGGGACAGGACACCCATCCCAGGGACAGGACACCCATCCCAAGGACAGGACACCCCATTCCCTGCCCAGCACCAACCTGTGGGCACCCCAGTTCCCGGGAGATCCCTGGGGATGCAGCAAATGCCCCCCGAGCCAGCTCCTTCCTCCCACCCCTTCCTCCCACCCGCTCCATCCCGGTTCCCGATTCCCTCTCCCCTCTGGATCCACAGCTGCCAGGCGAGCCCCACACCACCAGTGGCTTTTCCCAGCCCTCCAGGGCAGGGATTTTCCAGGTCTAACCCTGGCACTCTGCTTTCCTTGGAGCTCACATCAATAAAGTTCAGCCTGGCTGGGCTCAGCGTTGCCCAAAAAGCTCTGGATTATGCCCAGAGCTTTCTCCTTCCCGGCTCACGGAAAGCTTGGAGCTACAAAGGATTTCCTTGTCAGGGAAATGGAGCATTTTATAGGAATCTATAAATATCCATTCCAGTCCTGCACTGAATGTAGGAATTATCTCCAAGGAGGTTGGGAATGTGGTGCTGAAGGCTGAGCCCACAGCCCGAGGCTCCTGGAGATGTTCCCTGCGCCAGGAAAACAGGACAGGAATGCCGGGACAGCAGCAGGACCCAAAAAACGATCTGAGATCATCCAGTCCTAGCCCTGGCCATGGCCAGGGTCACCTTCCATGGACCGGGCTGCTCCGAGCCCCAGGGATGTGGGGACAGCCATGGGAGGAGCGAGGGATGTCCAAGGGACACGGGGAGGGCTGGTGGGATGTCCCCAGGGGAGCGGCACTGGGGCCACGGCTGTCACAGAACCACAGAATTGGAAAAGCCCCCCAAGACCATGGATTCCAACCATTCCCAGAACTGCCAAAGCCCCCCAAGACCATGGAGTCCAAGCATTCCCAGCACTGCCAAGGCCCTCATGGAATTACTGAGGTTGGAAAAGCCAAGACCACGGAGCCCACCCATCCCAACCATTCCCAGCACCACCAAGACCCCCACATCCCAAGCAGGACGGGGACTCCCCCACTGCCCCGGGGCAGCTTTCCAGGAAGGAATTTCCCCGCTCTCCCAGGCGGAGCACCCACCTTGAGCAGCTTGCAGCGGATCTGCGCCGAGACCATGTGGCTGTTGCGGAGGTTGCCCACGCGGAACATGAGCGTGAGCTTGCCGTCGCGCATGGAGATGGCGGCGTGCTCGCTGAACATCAGCGTCTCGGCCCTCTTCTTGGGCTGCGACATCTTGATGAACATGCAGCCGATCAGGAAGGCGTCCACGATGGAGCCCAGGATGGACTGGAAGAGGAAGAGGATGATGCCCTCGGGGCACTTGTCGGTGATGTAGCGGTAGCCGTAGCCGATGGTGGCCTCGGTCTCGATGAAGAAGAGGAAGGCGGAGGGGAAGTTATAGACGTTGGCCACGCACGGGGTGTAGCTGTCGTCGTGCGCCTTGTTGAGGTCCCCGCGCATGTAGGCGATCACCCACCACATGGAGGCCATGAAGAGCCAGGCCACGGTGTAGGTGAGGATGAAGATGAACAGGTTCCAGCGCCACTTGAGGTCCACCAGCGTGGTGAAGAGGTCGGACAGGTAGCGGCTGGTCTCGCCGCCCAGGTTGCCGTGCTGGACGTTGCAGCGGCCGTTCTTGTCCACGAAGCGCTNAGCCCGCGCACAGCCCGCCCTCCGCATCCCCGCATCCTCCTCCTCCTCGTCATCCTCCTTCCCTTCATCCTCTCCCCAGCATCCTTCACTCATCCTCCTCCTCCTCCCATCCTCCTTCTCTTCATCCTCTCCCCAGCATCCCTCGCTCATCTTCCTCCTCCTCCCATCCTCCTCCCCTCATCATCTTCCTCCTCATCTTCCTCTCCCCAGCATCCTCCCCCGGGGCTCCATCCCTCCTCCTCCTCCTCCTCCTCGCAGGGGCCCGAGCTCCCACAGACCCATGCAGGAGGGGCCGAGGGGAGGTCAGACACCCTCACCTTTCCCATATCCCATCCCGGTTTTATCCTCATCGCATCCGGTTTTATTTGAAGTTTTCCAGGTGCTTTGATCCCCCCAGAGCCCCCCAGCACTGCCGGGACGCAGAGGGGCACAGCCCCTTCCACCCGGGAAGAAATTCCCCGGGAGAAGCCACAAAGCTCAGCCCTGATCCAGAACCGGCGGCGAGCAGGAACTGGGTCCCGGGATGCGGATAAATGACCGGGAATGATGGAAAGGTTTGGGTGGGAAGGGAGCTGCTGATGCTCCCGGGGGCCAGGCTGGATCCAGGGCTGATCCAGGGCTGCTGCCGTCAGCTCCACGGGAATCCTGGATTGTCACCTTTCAGCCATGTGATCGAGCCCAGCCACACCTCTTGTTTACCCAGTATCCCTTCACCTTCCTCGGAACTGATTCCCAAGGATTTTTCTTGCCCTTGCTTTTGTATTCCAGCTTTTTTTGGTTTTCTTTCTGTCATTAAATTAATTTAGTTTCTCACTCTTCTGTTTTCTATTCCAAATCTCTCCTGTTCCCCACCCTTTTTTCCTGGGATTGGCAAAATGCCTGTTAATTTTCCTACCCAATTAAAGGAAATTTTGTATGGAATTCATCCCAAACTCTGGCCATGCTGGCAGAACCCTCCTGGCGCAGAGATCCACCAGCCTTGCCAGCTTCCCCTCTCCTATTCCTCCTTCCTCCATCCCTCCCGTGTTCCCAGAGGCCTCTCCATGGGCTGGAATTGGGCAGAGCTTCCCTGTGATCCATCTGGGTGTGCCAGAGCCAATCCAAGGGGAGCCATTCCCGGGAATTGCTGCAATTTGTTTTCAGGGGGATGAGCAGATTCCCGGCACCCGCGTTCCGCCAGCCGCGGGGGGAGGAGGAAATGGTGGGAGTGGGAAGGGAATGATGGACATGGAGATGTCACCCAAAGGGTCCTGGAGACTGGAAGCTGCTCCAGGAGCACTGGAAAAGCTCTTCCCCCCTGGATTGATGGAATTCCCAGCTGATCCCGCTGTGTAGGGACAGCTCCCACTGCCCCAGGCTGCTCCAAGTCCTGCCCAACCTGGCCTGGGACACTCCAGGGATCTGGAGACATCCATGGAATAACCTGTGCCAGCCAGGAATTCCCAATTCCCAATATCCCATCCATCCCTGCCCTCTGGCACTGGGAGCCATTCCCTGGCTCCTGTCCCTCCATCCCTTGTCCCCAGTCCCTCTCCAGCTCTCCTGGAGCCCCTTCAGGCCCTGCAAGGGGCTCCCAGCTCTCCCTGGATCCTTCCCTTCTCCAGGGGAACATTCCCAGCTCTCCCTGGATCCTTCCCTTCTCCAGGGGAACATTCCCAGCTCTCCCAGCCTGGCTCCAGAGGGGCTCCAGCCCTGGAGCTGCTCCATGATCTCCTCTGGACCCTCCAGCAGCTCCACCTCCTCCTTGTGCCGATTATCCCACAAATCCAACCTTCCCATGGCTGCTGCGGTCCCGGCCCAATGCTCCAGGTGAAGTTTCCCATCCCAGGTTTGCCTTGATCCATTTAAACTCTCCTGGATCCTGAACCCAGGAGTTCCCTTTTCCTGGATCTGCTTTTCCTTCAATTCCATTCCTCACCTGCAATTCTCTGATCTCGGCACCTGGAGGCTTTTCCAGGCTTTAGCTGACGTGGGGATGATCATAAATAAAATGGGTGAAATTAATTATTTATTCCCAGAATTAACAGAGACATTCCCAAACCTCTCTCTTCCAATCCCTCTGCCTGGATATGGATTTGAGGGCAGATCCTGCTGTTTTCCCTCAGAAAAATCATTTCCAGTTTGAAATGGGAGCTGGAGCAGGCAATCAGGATTTTCCTGAGCCCCAAAATATCCTAAATCCCTTAAATAAATCCCAAAAGAAAGTTTTCCAAGGAAATATGATGGAGGTTGGTTCCCTCTCTGTAATTTTCTATCAATCCTAAAAATTAACATTTCTGAGAAATTCCAAAGAAAAAGTGGGAAATACCTCCGTGCCTGCATTCATCCCTTCCAAAGGGATTCTTGGGTGATTCATTCCCAGGCTCCACAGCCCATCATTAACACGAGCAGTTAATTACCTCAAATGCTTTAATTACCAGGGGCCTTGGCAGGGTTTGGTGTCACCTGCAGCTCCAGCCCCCCAGACACCTGCAGGGACATCCTGGAGCAGGGAATTCCTGAGAAAAGGGATTTTACTGGGGGGCTTTCCATATTTTTCAGACAAGGAAGCAACTCTGGATGCGGGGAATCTCATTAAAGGAGTTCTTAATTAGTCCTGTTGGGATTTAATTGATTGAAGGGCACTTCAGCAATGTAGGAAGAATTATAAAATTAATTATTAATACAGAAATTCTATTTATAAAATTCCTAATTTTATAAATACAAAACCGTCATTTTGAAAACAGCTCCAGCTCCGATGCCGAGGATCCTTGGGATGGGACAGGGCAGCGTTGGGAATGTGGAGCTGAACATTCCCCCTTGGAATGTTCCATAGGGAAGTGCCACCCCCCTCTGCCACTGTCCCCAGGACATTCCCGACCTCCTCCTTCCCATCCCAACCCCAATTCCCGGCCCCAGGACACACCCAGGGCTCTGGCGCGGCCAAAACCCTCGGGAAGGAGATGAAATAAAGAATCGATTCCTCTTTTCCTGCATGGAAATTCCTGTTTAAATTTGATCCTGATGTTTTCCCGCTTTTTTTTTTTTTTACAAAGCAGAACAAAACCTCCCCTTTATTTTGGCGGGGGGAGCTGTTAAATCCCATTTTGTATTTTTGGGGTGATTGGAGGATAAAGAGCAGGAATATTCGGGCAGGAGGCTGGAGATGAGCTCCTGATCCAAGTTAATCCAGGATATTCCAGCGCCATGCAAGCCCAGCAATCCCTTTCCCAACTGAACTCCCTCCTGCTTCCCATTTAATGCATTTATTCAGGAAATATCCTCTGATTTACACCTCACCCATAAAGCCCGGGATGAATCCAGAACCACCAGAGCAGGGTACAGAAAATACCGGCATTTTTAATGACCCAGTGCATTTACAGAGATTTTTGGGAACTGTGAGGGAAATCCTGGGAAATATTTCCCCACTTACCGGTGCTGGGATCCCGCTGCCCTGGGATTTCAGTCTCCTGAACCCTCTGGGCAGTGAGAATTCCCAAAATCCCAGCCCAGAGGGCCACAGCTGCATTTGGGGTGGCTCCCAAAGGAACGTCCCCAGCACATCCCGGGAATGTTCCTGTCCCCACATCCCAGCTGGAGCAGCTCCTGAGGACCAGCAGTGCTTTGGGAACAGCCACACCCACAAAAGGATGGAGCCCCCAGATCCCTAAAACCAGAAAGGAGCCTCTGTGATTCCAGTGGGAATGGGAACACCCAGAGGTGGAACTGGGAGAGATCCAGGGACGGAGCCGTGCCTGTGGCTGGTGGGATGCAGGGATTCATGGATGTGTTGGGATGGAGGGATGGAGACCCTCCAAGCTCCAGAAGTCTCAGCTCTGGCCCTTCCAGGAGTCCCCTGAGCCCCAGGTCTGGCCCCAGCTCCATTCCCATGGAAGGAGGGACAGCCCCATTCCCATGGAAGGAGGGACAGCTCCATTCCCATGGAAGGAGGGACAGCTCCATTCCCATGGAAGGAGGGACAGCTCCATTCCCATGGAAGGAGGGACAGTTCCCTCCGTGCCGCTCCGAGGTCCCACGGATGTCGCTGCTTCCCCTCGGCATTGCCGTGTCTCCCGTGGCCTCACCTCTTGGAATTCCTGGTGAAGCGCAGTCTTAGCCTGATTTTCCCAACACCAGATCCCATTTTTTTTCCCAGCACAACCCAGGAAGCTTTGGTGCTGTCAAATCCCACTGGGCACGAGAGAACACCCCAGATCCTCCAGGACGTTCTCCAGGACATTCTCCAGGACATTCTCCAGGACATTCTCCAGGACATTCTCCAGGAGAGCCCAGCACATCCCAGCAGCTCGGGCCACACCTCCCAGGGCCACCTGTCCGTGGTGACAGCAACACCTCCACATCCCAACGTCTCCAGGGTCAGCCATGCCTCTGGAATCTCAGGAGCACACTGCCGCTGGTATCCGCAGCTCAGATCACTTGGAGGGACCTGGAACTCGCCGGTGGCTCCGCTGGGACGGGGCTGGGCGCTGCTGGGAGCAGCGGGAACAGCGGGAAGAGCGGGATGTGAGGCGGGAATCAGGCTCCCAGGGTCATGTTGCGCAGCAGCCACTGCTGGGAGCGGCCGCTCCCGCATTCCCGCATGGTGGGAACCAGCCGATCCTCCTCCGACGGCTCCGCCAGGCACTGGTTGCTGTTCAGGTGCCTCAGGGTGAGCTTCTGCAAGGGGGGACAGAGAATTCCCGCTGAAACCCAGAATTCCAGTTGGGGAATGCCGTGTCCTGGCATTCCAGGCCTGGTTTGGTCAGTGCCTGGAGCTCCGGGAATCTCCTGGAGCTCCGGGACATCCCCACCACACAGAGCCACCCTGCTCCTCCCTCTGCTCAACCAACAAATCCCTCTGCAAAGGGAAAATAATTCCAGGGAAATCTGATCTTCCCAAGGCACAGCTGCTGGATGGAGGAGCTGGGTCTCCACGTGGACACGTGGAATGTTTGGGACCAGAGCAGGAATTGCTGGTGGTGGAAATGTATTTGCTCAGTAATCCATGGAAACGCTCCTGTTCCCAGGGCATTTTTCCTTCTCAGGACGCTCCTTCTGATCCCACCACATTTCTGAGGGATGGGAGAATTGGAAGGACACAAAACACATTGGAAGGAATAAAACACCACCTGTTCCACTGGGAGAACAAATTCCCAGAGAAATCCCGGGAAGTTAAACAGGGAATTCTCTCAAATAACACCAGAGAGGTTCAGTCCCAGCTGAGCCGGGAGCATTCCCATCATCATTCCCTGGGAGTGTGCCAGGGCCTCACCTTCCAGCCAGGAATTCCCAATTCCCAATCTCCCACCCATCCCCGCCCTCTGGCACTGGGAGCCATTCCCTGGCTCCTGTCCCTCCATCCCTTGTCCCCAGTCCCTCTCCAGCTCTCCTGGAGCCCCTTCAGGCCCTGCAAGGGGCTCGGAGCTCTCCCTGGATCCTTCCCTTCTCCAGGGGAACATTCCCAGCTCTCCCTGGATCCTTCCCTTCTCCAGGGGAACATTCCCAGCTCTCCCAGTACCCCTGGGAATGGGGAATTTCAGGGTGGAAATCCCGTCAGCAGATCATCCACTGGAGCAGAGCCCGATTTTATGGCAAGGGAACAAACAGGGAAAACCAGGATGGGCAGGAAAATCCTGGTGCCCTGAGGAGAGGGGAGAAAGAAGGAATTAATCCCAAAATTCATCTGAAACAGCCCAGGCTGATGTCAAACCTTGGAATCTCCCTAGGGATAGAGGGGCTGGAATGGCGGGAGCTGCTTGAGGGCTTGGGCTCAAGCAGGAGCATAAATATTGATGTAATATTAAAAAATATTTATATCAAATAAATAATAGGAGAAAAATAAAATAATATTAAATAGTTTAAATGATAATATTATATATGATATTAAAATAATATATTAAATAATTTAGATTATATATAAAATTAATAGAAAATATAGATTATAGATTATATTATATTAATGTAACATAACCATTATATATTATATTATATTATATTATATTATATTATATTATATTATATTATATTATATTATATTATATTATATTATATTATATTATATTATATTATATTATATTATATTATATTATATTATATTATATTATATTATATTTAATATAGAACAATGAAAAATAAAGAGACAAAAATATATTAAATAGTATTATACAGAATAATATAAAATAAGAGATTAAATTATGCTCTCAGGGCTCATAAACACCATTTATATTCATTATTTTTAAGATTTTTATATAATTTTATTTTTATATATTATTTATGTATATTATGATTTATATTTAGTGGAAAATATAGCATAATATTTATATATTACATAATAAACATATTGTTGTTTATTTTTATCTACTATAAATTTATAATAATTATAAATTATTATATATTATATATTATATAATGAAATAATAGAATAATTATCAGGTGTAAATGTATATTTACTGTATTTAATATATTATTAATATATTATTGTATTAATTACATATATTAATGTATTTGATATATTTTTAATATTAATAATAATTATTAATATATTTTAATTTTATTTATGGATAAAAATATAGAAATTAAAGACACATATAGATAAAAATTTTTCAATATATATCTACAAAAAGGCTCTTTATCCCCAACCAAACTCCTGGGAAATTCCAACATGGAATTTGGTTTTCCTACCCCCATCTCCCCGTCCTGATCTACTGAATATGAAAAATTCCATGATAATTACAGGAAAAGTCTGGAAAAAATTCAACTTCTAGGAAAAAAATCTGGGAAAAATCTGGGAAAACTCTGGAAAATTCTGTGGAAAATCCTAGGAAATGTTGAACCTTTTTGAGAAAATATTTTACAAATGAAAGTATTTTTACGTCTTGGAATAGGAGGCAAATCTCAGCTCCTGCAGGTTAGAACAATCACAGTGACAGCAAGAGATCAAGGGAGTTGAATTAATCCAAAATTAATTAAAATTAATAACAATTAAGACTAATAATTACTAGTAACTAATAATTACTGAGAACTAAGAAGAACTAACATTAAACATTTGTTCTATCCTATAGCTATAGAATCATCTTCTGTCTTGTTCTATGGAAAAATCTGATATGAAATTAAATTTATTCAATTTTTTATTAAATTCTCTGAAAAAAAATTCTATTGAATTCTGAAATTCTATTAAATTTTATGAAAATTCTATCCTAATTCTATTTAAAAAAATCCATTAAAATTCTACCAAAAAATTCTGTTAACATTCTAAGGAAATTCCATGAAAAATTCCAGGAAAAGTCCGCAAAAAACACACGAAAATTTTATGAAAAATATGAAGGAAAATTTGAGGAGAAATTTTTCATGAAAATAAAACTTTTCATGTCAAAAACGACATGAAAAAATGCATCAAAAAAGGGAAGAAATGATGAAAAATGTGTGAAAAGGTGAATGAAAAATTCTCATAAAAATTCCATGAAAAGTCTACGAATTCCATGAAAAATTAACATTTTTGAAACCGTAAAAAAAAAATACATATATATATAAAAAATACAAAAATTTCCAAAATAAAACAAGACAGAATTTTTGCCGAGCTCCTCCAGCAGAGCCAGAAGATTCCCTGGGAATTCCTTACCCCACCACATCCTGGATTTCCTTCCAATCCCAACGTCCCTACAGGAAATAATCGGTGGGGCTGGAATAAACCTTCCTAAAGACTTCCAGGCGGGAATAATTCCTGAGGATCCAGGTCTGCAGGGGGCTCCCATCGCAGGCCTCCACCGTGGGGCCGTGGGAGCCGTCCTCGATCCTGCCCAGCGTCAGGCACGACTGCGTGATGATGTGCAGGAATGTGCGCCTCTGGAAAAGCGGGAACGCTCAGCGGGAACGGCCGAGGGCGGCGGGAAGAGCGGGGAAAATGTGGGAATTGCTACTGGGGAATGGCGACGGGAACGGCGAGCGGGTCGGGATTTTGGAGTTTTGGATTCACCAAAGTGAATGTCCAGAGGGAAATTCATGGATTGGGATTGAATTCCAGGCAAAAATGTCCTCCCTGCTCTTGAGAGCATTCCCATGATCCAGAGTGGATTGTGGCTCTCAATCCCGTTCTCCCTACCACTGGATTGCTGCAATTCCCTGATGGAAAGATCCAGGCAGAGATGGGGTTTTCCTAGCAGGAATATCCCAAAATTTCCATGTTGCTCTTGAGAGCATTCCCGTGATCCGCTGCAGAGCCTGGCTCCCAATCCTGCCTCTCCAACCCCTTGGATTGCTGCGATTCCCCATGGGAAGGATCCAGGCAGAGATGGGTTTTATTCCTGCACAAACATCCCAAAATTTCCTCCCTGCTCCTGAGACCATTCCCAAGCTCCACCACGGAGCGAGGCTCCCGATCCTGCCTCTCCAAGCCCTTGGATGGACGGCTGAGATTCCTGCCTGGAAAGATTTGGGCACAGCCGGAGTTTTTCCTGCACAAACCACCCTGAATCCCATTCGGGAATTACTCCATTAAAACCAGAATTCATTAAACATTTATGTGGGGGTTTTTTTTATCCCCAACCACAATTCCAGCTTTTCCTTCCCAGTGCCCATTCCAGGTGGGATGAGATGAAGGGGAGCTTCCACTTCCCTGGATTCCACCCCATCACCGAGGGCTGGAATGCTCTTCCCACATCCCAGCTCCTCTCCTGCTCCTTTCCCGTGATTTTGGCTTGGGAATGGAAAAAGTGACGTGAGGATAAAAGAGACACTAAAAATACCAGGGCCAAGTGTCCCTAAAATGTCACTTGGAGGCAGCGGCGGGGCTGGATCGCTGTGGAGCCGCGCTCCCTGCTCCCTCCTGCCCGGGAATCTTTCCAGGGAAAGCAGAGGTCCATAAGAAAAGGATCTGGAATTCTCTCTCTGGTGTTCACAGGATATGAAATATCCCAAGGCAGCGGATTCCTCACATGGGGATCAACATGAATGTGGGAATCTGAGCAGGCTTTTCCTGGATTCATGGAATGGTTTGGGATGGAAAGGCCTTAAATCCCATCCCAATCCTGCCATGGCAGGGGCACCTCCCCTCCAAATCCCATCCAGCCCAGCCTGGGCCACTTCCAGGGATCCAGGGGCAGCCACAGCTGCTCCGGGAATTCCAGCCCAGCCAGGAATTCCCAATATCCCATCCATCCCTGCCCTCTGGCACTGGGAGCCATTCCCTGGCTCCTGTCCCTCCATCCCTTGTCCCCAGTCCCTCTCCAGCTCTCCTGGAGCCCCTTCAGGCCCTGCAAGGGGCTTGGAGCTCTCCCTGGATCCTTCCCTTCTCCAGGGGAACATTCCCAGCTCTCCCTGGATCCTTCCCTTCTCCAGGGGAACATTCCCAGCTCTCCCTGCATCCTTCCCTTCTCCAGGGGAACATTCCCAGCTCTCCCTGGATCCTTCCCTTCTCCAGGGGAACATTCCCAGCTCTCCCAGGCTGGCTCAGGGAGCGGGAAGCTCTGGAATGTTGGAGCAGCAGCTATGGAGAAGCACTGAGCGAGGGCACGGCTACAGGAGCTATTCCAGGGATCGGGATTTGGCACAGGGATTGCTCCAGACTTACCTCAAAACTATATTCCCATTTCCCAAAATACTGAGGGAAGGGGAGACAGAAGGAAAGCAGAGTCAGAGATCCAAGGAACATTTTTTGTGCAGCCCCTCAGCTCTCCCCAGATGGAAATTCCGCAGCTTTGCATGGACACCGCGATTGGGGACAAATAGTGGCAATTATCCAGGAAAAAATCACGGAATTCTGAGCGGGAGGGGATCCATAGGGATCATCAATCCAACCCTGGCCCTGCCAGGAGATCCCAGCAATCCCATCCTGTCCCCGAGAGCGTTGTCCAAACACTCTGGAATTATTTACACTGGAATATTATATAATTTTATATATATTATATTGGAATATTATGTAATATTCCAAGCTCTGGAAGCCTTGGAATAAACCCTGAGGGATCCATCTGGAATAAATCCCGAGGAGTTTGATAGGAATAAACCCTGGGGGATTTTTCAGGAATAAACCCTGCCACCACCATCCATCCACAGGGAATTAAACTCCTTCCTATCAGCTGTGACACATTTCCAGCTCTGTATTTTCCCTGGATTCCTTTGTTTATGTCCCAAGATTTCATCCCTCCCCACATCCAGGGGTTTTCCCTGGATGTCACAATGGGAATCACCAGGCATGGGAGCCTGGAAGTTATTCAATATTTAAACAAATTAAATTAGAAAAGTATAAAAATTAACCATAGCAGGAAATCGTAGAAAATTTCATGGAAATCCCTCAGAGAAATCCCTTTTTTGGGATTATTTCATGTCTAGTTGTGGCTTTGCTGTCCCTTGCCAAGCCAGAATTCCTAAAAATTCCTAAAAACCACCCAAAATCCTTCCATGCATTCCTGAATAAGTAAGGAAAGAAAAAATCAGTGTAATTCCACAGGAAAATCAAATTAATGAATACAAGTGACTTAGGAAATGTCCTGAAACTGCTTCTCTGGGAAAAAAAATAAATGGAATATCACAACTTGTAAAGATCCTGGATATTAGGAATGTTTGGGGGTTAATAATACACTAATAGATACATAATTAATGGGAATAATGAAATGAAAGGGAAAACAGGCAGCTGAAATCAGAATATTTCAAGGAAAATTGGTGATGAAAAGATTTGCTCAATAAATCCAGGGATAGGGAATGCAATGGGATGTTTTCCAGGAGAGCAAGCAGCCAGTCCTTGGAGATGCCATAAAAACATGGAGCATTCCTGTTTTAGGAGCTCCATCTCATGGCCGAGCTGGGTTTTACACAATTCCCGGGAAATTCTGCTCAATTTCAGGGAAAATCCAGCACATTCCCTATATTCTTCCAGTATTTTATTGGAAGAATTCCAGCCTTCCAGGCAGGAAGGGCGGAGGTGTCCAAGGAATTCCTGGATGTGGCTGGGGGCAAGGTGGGGATGGGGCACAGCTGATGATGACCTGGGAGGGCTTTTCCAGCCTCAGGGGGGACAGCAGCAGGAATTTCCCCATGGAAAGGGCGCTCAGGCCTTGGAAGTGCCCAGGGAGGTTTGCAGTGCCCATCCCTGGAGGTGTCCAGGGAATTCCTGGAGGTGGCACACGGTGGGATCGGGCACAGCTGGGATTTGATGACCTTGGAATGCTTTTCCAGCCCCAGGGATGGTGGGATTGTTCCCAAATCACCCCGGGATTGGGATACCTCGGCGTCGTACTCCCAGAGCTGGTTGCCCCTCAGGTGGTGGCACTTGAGCATCAGCACGGGGCCGTTGAGGCGCGACACGTCCAGGCACAGGTCATCCGTGCGGATCTCCTTGTCCGCCGTGTAGGAAAACACCTGCAACACACAGCGGGAATGGGAAAGGCCTGGGAGCTCCGGGCCCAGCTCAGGGAGGGACCCCTCAGGAGCTGGAGCCTTTCATCAGAGAAATCCACCGGAATTCACGGGAATGGAAAGGTTTTCCATTGGAGGAATCCATTGGAATTCAGGGGAAGGGAAAGGTTTTCCATTGGAGAAATCCATTGGAATTAAAGATTAATTAGAATCCATCAGAATCAATCCATCAGAATTAAAGATTGGAGAAATCCACTGGAATTCAGGGGAAGGGAAAAGTTTCCCATTGGAGAAATCCTCTGGAATTAAAGATTAATTAGAATCCATCAGAATTAATCCATCAGAATTAAAGATTGGAGAAATCCATTGGAATTCAGGGGAAGGGAAAGGTTTCCCATTGGAGAAATCCATTGGAATTAAAGAAGGAAAAGGTTTCCCATTAGAGAAATCCATTGGAATTAAAGATTAATTAGAATCCATCAGAATCAATCCATCAGAATTAAAGATTGGAGAAATCCACTGGAATTCAGGGGGAGGGAAAAGTTTCCCATTGGAGAAATCCACTGGAATTAAAGATTAATTAGAATCCATCAGAATTAATCCATCAGAATTAAAGATTGGAGAAATCCATTGGAATTCAGGGGAAGGGAAAGGTTTCCCATTGGAGAAATCCATTGGAATTCAGGGGAAGGGAAAGGTTTCCCATTGGAGAAATCCATGGAAATGAGGCCAAGCTCCAGTGAGGATGGAGGAAGTGACAGGAGGAGATGGCAGGATTTGGGATGGAGCTCCAGGATAAATCAGGGACGGGAACACCCCAGCCTTTCCCAGCAGGAATGTGGCCAGGAGCAGGTGTCTGGAATACCAGAGCTTCCATGGAATTGTGACTGTGCCACCCATGGAAAATTCCACACATAAATAAGAAAAAACTTAGCATTAATTAAATTAGAATTAATTTAAAATACACTTAAAAATCCCTTCATTATAATTTACATCCCAAACCCCATCTGGAGCAGCCATGCTAATTTGAATATCTACTGGAATATGCAAATTTTATTCTAATTAACCCAGAGTCGCCGGTCACAAGACCAAGAATTCCAATCCACTTTTCTCCTCCCTTTCCAGCCCCTCCAAACAAAACACCCCAGCCCCCTCCTCACTGGAATTCCACGGAAGAACTCAACTTCCATGAATATCCGGGATATTTCCTTTCCCCCCACACATCCAGAATGGATGGATCCAGTTTATGGAGATTCCATTTTAACGAAAATAAATTCAAATTCCTGACCAAATTTCCCAATGTTTGTGTCTGGAATGTTAAATTTATTCTTAAATGACATCAGGGCCCTGTTCAATATATTCCCTGCGATACTTCCCATGGATTTGCATCAATATTCCCCCAAAATCTGGAGCTGAAATTGAAGAAAATGGCTGAGTCCTCTTAAAATCCTTCAGCCCCAAACCGAAAACATTTTGGAATTTTCCTTGTTTATTTTGATATTACTTTCACACAAAATCTAGAAGGGACTTGAAATAGACATTCAAAATATTCCAAAGGAATTCTTGGCCAAAGAAGCCGATTTTTCCCAGTTTTTCTTTACCTGGTTCCCTCCCATGCCGTGGCAGTTGAAAAATCCCACTTTTTCGTTCTCCTTGCGGCCCATGTTGTCCAAGCACTGGTTGGTTTCAACATTCCTGATCTGGAGAAAGGAAAAGAGGTGAAACATTCCTTAAAATATTTCCTGGGCCTGCCAGATTTGTGCAGGAAATTGCAATCTGGAAACAGATCGTGTTCCCAAGAAATCACAGAACAGTTTGGGTTGGAAGTGGCCCCAAAGCTCATCCAGGGCCACCTCTCACTGTTCCATGCCAAGCCGTGAGGGAATTCAGGATGATTATCCCAAATCTGTCAAAATCTCCTTTTTTCTGCCTGTTCATCCCTGAAAACAACAAAACATCCACCTGGGAAATGCCCTTTGAGGCCTGGTGCTGCTCATCTTTGACTGGCACCATTTTTCCTTGGATTTGAGCCCAGGAAGAGCCATCCAGGGCAGGACATGGATCATTTATGGCCTAATGATGCTGCTCCGGCTTGGCTGGATCAAATCCTGCCCCAACCTCTTCTGACAGGCAGGAAAATCTCCAAAAAAACCGCACTTCCAATGCCTTCAAAATTCCCCATTTTTCTGCTGCTCCCTGGGCTTGATGGCTGCAATTCCCTTTTCCTGCTGCCCTGGAACAGCCAAAGCAGGCTCCAATTCCCTGCTCCTGCCCGAGCTGCTGTTTCCATGGAAACCGAGGCCACACTGCACAGATCAGGTGTTTGAATCGCTATTTTCTGCCTTTCTCATCCCATTTTCCAGCCTGCCAACGGGGCACAATCCCACTTTATTTGACATTCCCTAGACAAGTCCTTTCCTTGCTGGAAACCCCCGTTTCCCTTTATTTTGGCAGGATTAAACCTGGAATCCTCCAGTGCCTTTTATTCCTGCCTACAATGACAAATTTCAATGGGAAATCACTTCCCTGGATGTCAAAAAAAAAAAAAAGAAAAAAGCCATTTGTTCCTTGGAGTGCTATTCCAGGATTGTAATTCCATCATCAAATCCTTCAATTGTTATTCCATCATCATCAAATCAACCCATTCCAGAGCTTTGAAAAGGCAGCGTAGGAACAACTCAATGTAATGTTTTTTAATTGTGAATTTGTTGAATTCACAAGAGAAAAAAAAGAAATTCCAGCTCCTGGTGGTCCCAGAACCTTGGGATAACCAGGAATATCCGTGATCCTCAGCTCCAGCCTGGAAAACACTCAGTGAGCAAACATTCCTTTAAAAAAAAATCCCCCAAAAAGCCATTTTTAGTCTCTTTCCAAACGATAAATGATGATGGAAGGTTCCCCTCAAGGGCTGCATATCCATTGTGTCAAAATATTAATCCCAAACTCCACTTTTCCAATCTCCTGCTCCATTTGGGAAATAAATGTGCCAGGTGAACACTGGGAATAGACACTGGATTTAACGGGAGATTTGTAAGGAGAGGGAATATGTTTGGAACAGCGACTTCTCCTCAAAAAGGACTTTAAAAAAAGGAAATAAAGAGAAATAAGAAATCAAGAGGAATAAGAGACAAGCAGGGAACTCCAGCACCGGAGTCTTGGCTCCGAAGCCACCTCATCCCCTTGGGAATGGATCCATTGGCTCTGGACACTTCCTGCTTTCCTTCACCTACTGCTTTGTTGTCCTTACTCCTTTCCTTGCTGTTTTTTTGTACCCACTGGTTTTCCTTAGCAACTGCTTCCAGTTCTTACTGGTTTCCAGTACTTACTGGTTTCCAGTTCTTACTGGTTCCAGTTCTTACTGGTTTCCTGTATTTACTGGTTCCAGTTTTTACTGGTTTCCTGTATTTACTGGTTTCCTGTATTTACTGGTTCCAGTTCTTACTGGTTTCCTGCAGTGCTGGTTCCCTTCATTTACTGGTTTCCTCTGCTACTGGTTTTTCCTTTATTTACTGGTTTCCAGTACTACTGGTTTGCTGCAGTTACTGGTTTCTCGCACCTCCTGGTTTCCTGTGTTTGCTGGTTTTCTTTACTTGCAGCTTTCTTTACTCACTGGTTCCCTGGATTTACTGGCTCCTTTACTCACTGCTTTCTTGTAGTTACTGGTTTCTTTATCTACTGGCTCCCTTTACTTACTGGTTTCCTGTAAGATTCCTTTCCTTTGCTTACTGGTTTCCAGTTCTTACTGGTTTCCCATACTGCTGATTCCCTTCATTTACTGGTTTCCTGCATTGCTGATTTCCTTTACTCACTGCTTTCCTGTAGTTACTGGTTTCCATATGATTGGTTCCCTGGATTTACTGGTTTCCTGTAAGATTCCTTCCCTTTGCTTACTTGTTTCCAGTTCTTACTGGTTCCCTGGATTTACTGGTTCCCTGGATTTCTTGGTTTTCCTGCTTTCCTAGACCCCCTGCTTTGCTGTAGTCACTGGTTTCCTGGATTTACTGGTTCCCTTTCCTCACTGGTTTCCAGTTCTTGCTTCACTTACTGGTTTGTTGTGCTCCAGGTTTCCTGCACTTATTGATTTCCTTTCATTCCTGGTTTCCTGCAATTCCTTACTTCTTTTATTCCTGTTTTCCTTTCATTCCTGGTTTCCTGCAATTCCTTACTTCTTTTATTCCTGTTTTCCTTTCATTCCCGGTTTCCTGCAATTCCTTACTTCTTTTATTCCTGTTTTACTTTCATTCCTGGTTTCCTGCACCCCTGGATTGCCGCGTTTCCCGTTTTCCCGCGATTCCCGGCCCGTACCTCTCCCAGGGAGTAGTAGCGCCGTGGGATCTGTGAGTCGGGGTAGACGTTCTCCAGGTACCAGGAGAAGGGTTTGCACCCCAGGCTCTCCCGCAGAGCTTTCCTGACGGAAACGTCTCCGTAATCCACCTTCACCACCCCTGGAACGGCGAGACAAGAGCCCATCAAACATCTGGGAAAATCCCGGAGCCGTCTCCAGCTCCCGATTCCAATCCATGCGCTGGGATTGGGAGCAGCGGGATGGGAGTGATCCCATGGATGATGGATGGATGATGGATGATGGATGGATGGATGGATGGATGATGGATGGATGGATGGATGGATGGATGGATGATGGATGGATGGATGGATGGATGGATGATGGATGGATGGATGGATGGATGATGGATGGATGGATGGATGGATGGATGGATGGATGGATGGATGGATGGATGGATGATGGATGGATGATGGATGGATGGATGGATGATGGATGGATGGATGGATGGATGGATGGATGGATGGAGAACTGCTGGAGACCAGTGGCTGTGGAGGGAATATTTTGGGCACAGTTTGTGCTCCGGGAGAGGAGCCCAATCCCACTTTTTGCCCTCCCATGCAGGCAGGGAAGAACCTGCTTTGCAGACAGAAAATTGTGAGGATTTGCTATGATTTAGGAGGAAAATCCCTTCCCATTTCCTCTCCCAGGATCATCTGAACCTCACCTGGCCCAAACTGGGACAGGCTCACATGGGGCAGCTCCTGGATTCCAGATTCATCCATTCCTTTTCTTTCCTAACAAAGGGACTTCCTCTAATCCCATTTGAAGCGTCTCCAGGATTTCTGGGATTTCTGAAGGCCTCCCAGGCTCTTCCCAAGGAAATCTCCGACTCCTTCTTACAGGCTAAACCCAAAAGGGGACTTTTCCTCACTGCTTTGGGAATTTTTCCCTTTTTTTTTCTTGGATTTATTAAAATCTGCCTCCTGACTCATCCCAGCACAAAGGAAGATTTTCTTGTTATCCAAACAAAAACAGGAGAAGAAATTTGCTTGGATGAAAAATCTGCTCAACATCCCAAAAATTACAGCAGGGCTCTCCTCCAGCAGAATTCGATTTTCCCAGGAACTGGATCGCTCCAGAATTTTAATTTGGGATTTAATTATGAGGTGTGCCCCTTATCATGCTGAGAATTCTCTTTCTGCCTGGGAGCAGCGCCCGGCTCCTCTCTCCTGGGATCTCAGCTCTGGAATGGGATGACACTTCCATAGTCCATGGACACTCCCTGCCACATGTGGGGAAGAGAATTCCAGGTGTTGTGTTCCAGGGGGTTCTCCATGCTGGGATCTCTGCTGCCCTTCCCATGGATCCCTCAGGGATTCCAGGGATAACCTGGGCCCCTCCTGACAATGGAGACCCTGAGGGGCTGGAGTGTGGCCAAGGAAGGGAACGAAGCTGGGAAGGGGCTGGAGAATTCCTGAGGGAGCTGGGAAGGGGCTGAGGCTGGAGCAAAGGAGGATCCCAAGGGATCTTTTCCCTCTCTGGAATTCCCTGGCAGGAGGGGACAGGCGGGGGGGTCGGGCTGTGCTGGCAGGGAACAGGGACAGGAGGAGAGGGAACGGCCTCAGGCTGGGCCAGGGCAGCTCAGGGAGGATTCTGGGACAATTCCTTCAGGAAATGGTGGAGTCCCCATTCCTGGAGCGATTTCAATCCCCGTGGATGTGGCACTGGGGACAGGACAGTGCTGGGAACCGTTTCACTCCATGATCTCAGAGAACTTTCCCAGCCCACCCCATTTCCAGCTCCCGTTTCCCGGGAAGCCGATCCCGTACCGGGGGAGATGATGTAGAAGAAATCCTTGAACTCGTCCATCCACACCTCAGCCAGGCGCCGGTTGTTCTTGTTGATGACGTGGCCGGTGCCCCCCGGGAAGGAGTAGGGGGTGGCCTTGCGGAACACGTGGCCCACGTGGGAGCAGGTGACGATTTCCAGGGAGCCACCGCACTGCCACACCTGCAGCGGGAACGGGAACCAGTGGGAAGCGTTATCCTCAGCATCCCAATTAGCTAGAGCAGTTATTGGGATAATCCCAAAGAATTCCATGGAATAACCTCAAATAACTCCATGGAATAATCCCAAAGAATTTCAAGGAATAACCCTAAACACTTCCATGGAATAATCCCAAACATTTCCATGGAATAACCCCAAAAAACTCCATGGAATAACCCCAAAGAATCCCATGGAATAACCCCAAAGAATTCCATGGAATAATCCAAATTTTAGTTCATTTTTTTTTAATTTCAATTATCTATCTCAATTATTTCAATTATTTGAGTTTGGGGTTTTATTTATTTCTATTATTTGTCTCAAATATTTGTCTCAATTATCTTAATTATTTTAATTATTTTAGTTCACTTTATCTCAAATATCTATCTCAATTATTTTAATTAAGTTTTTTTTCATTTCAATTATCTATCTCAAATATTTGTCTCAAGTATTTATCTCAAATATTAATCTCAAATATTAATCTCAAATATTTATGTCAAATATTTGTCTCAACTATTTACCTCAATTATCTTAATTATTTTAATTAGTTCCATTTTTTTACCTCAAATATCTATTTCAATTATTTTAATTTTTTTAGTTCAGTTCTTTTAATTATTTATCCCAATTATTTATTTCAGTTATTTATTACAATTATTTATTTCAATTAGTTCAGTTCTTTATTTCAATTATTTATTTATTTAATTAATTCAATTATTTCAGTTATTTATTTCAATTCTTTATTTCAATTCTCTCAGTTCCCTTTTTTTGTTTTGATTCTTTACCTCAAATATTGATTTCAATTATTTTTTTCAAACTTTAAATGCCAATTATTCCTTTCCAATTTAATTATTATTATATATTATAATTATTATTATTTATTTCCAATTTAATCATTTCAGTTTTTTATTTGAATTTTTTGATTTCCATTCTTTTCCTTCCGGGCCCTTCCTGGTGATAAATCCCTGAGTTTTTGGGGAATTTTTCACGGGAGCTCCGGCGGAATCCTGGAATTAGAGCTCCTGCGTTCCCATGGCAACCGTGGGATCGCGTTAATCAGGGCTCCCTCCGCTCCCAGAATTCCATGGGAATGAGGAAGGATGGCTCCTGTGGGATCCACAGCCAACTGCTCAGGGGAACTTCGGGATGAGGGGTGCCGAGGAATTCCAGAGGGAAAAAATCCCAGATACGCACCAGGGATGGGCTCATGGAGCAACCTGGGAGCATGGAATGACCCCAAAGAATTCCATGGAATAACCCCAAAGAATTCCATGGAATAACCCCAAAGAATTCCACGGAATAACCCCAAAGAATTCCACGGAATAACCCTAAAGAGTTCCATGGAATAACCCTAAAGACTTCCATGGAATAACCCCAAAGAACTCCATGGAAGAGCCCCAAACACTTCCATGGAATAACCCCGAAGAATTCCATGGAATAACCCCAAAGAATTCCATGGAATAACCCTGAAGAATTCCAGGGAATGATCCTAAAGAATTCCAGGGAATAACCCCAAAGAATTCCATTGAATGACCCCAAAGGATTCCATGGAATAACCCCAAAGAATTCCATGGAAGAGCCCCAAAGAATTCGATGGAATAACTCCAAACACTTCCATGGAATAACCCCAAATGTACATCAGGGATGTATTCCCAGAGCAACCGGGGAGTGCGGAATAAATCCCAAATATACACCAGGGAAGAAATCCCAAAATATTCCCCGTGGATGTGCTCATGGAGCAATGTGGGAATAACTGGACACACAATTGGAGACGCCTCCATCCCAAATCCCAGCATTCCCTGGCTGTTTTCCCATTCCAGTTGGCAGGAAATTCCCCCTACGGCACCATTTCTACAAAGCTCTGTTCCCAGACACTTTTCCAGCGGATTTTTGGCTCTCCCTGGAGCAATCCGCTCCCTGTGCCAGCTGGGATCGCATCTGGGGGAACCTGCACCCTCTCCTTAGGGAAAAGGAATTTTCCAATGTTTCCTAAAAATCCCAAACAAATCAGCCTTCTGGGATACTCTCTGGGAATGTGACTGCTGCCCAAAAATTCCCATCCTGGCTAAGAATTGTGGGATTTCAGGGATCTGTTCCCCACACAGACTATGGAATCCATTCATCCCTCGCTGTTGGGACTCCAGGCAGTCAGGGAATTATGGAATGGTTCGGGTTGGAAAGGGAATTAAATCCCATCCCAATCCATCCAGGGACAGCTCCCACCATCCCAGGCTGCTCCAAATCCCAAATCCAGCCTGGCCTTGGGCACTGCCAGGGATCCAGGGGCAGCCACAGCTGCTCTGGGAATTCCCAATTCCCAACGTCCCACCCATCCCTGCCCTCTGGCACTGGGAGCCATTCCCTGGCTCCTGTCCCTCCATCCCTTGTCCCCAGTCCCTCTCCAGCTCTCCTGGAGCCCCTTCAGGCCCTGCAAGGGGCTCTGAGCTCTCCCTGGATCCTTCCCTTCTCCAGGGGAACATTCCCAGCTCTCCCTGGATCCTTCCCTTCTCCAGGGGAACATTCCCAGCTCTCCCAGCCTGGCTGCAGAGCTGGATTCTGATTGGATCCTAAAGGAATTAACCCTTCCTGCTCCTTATCCATTTCCTGTCACAATTCCCACAACAGCCAAAGCAGGAATTCCAGAGATCAGAGCAACTCTGGCATCGTCACATCCCTGGGGAAATCCCTTTTTCCCTGTTCTTCTTGCACTTCCAGCAGTGCCAGAAATCCCAAATAAACCCCATCCTACCCCGCTCAGAGCTCACATTCCCTGTCCCATCCTGCCTGGATTATCCTAAGGAATCATCCCAAAGGAATTCTTTTTTTTTCCAGATGGACAGATTAATTTTAATTCCCTTTCCAAATCCATAGGAATTCCTTTCAGAGCATCAAGTTTTTTCAGGGAATTCTCCAAGTGGGATAAAACCACGTGGAGAATTTAACAGGAAGCGAAAATTTCCAGCAATTCCATCAATAAAAATAAAGTTTAGGAATAAATCAGTTTTTCCTTGACTAAAACAAACCCTCGGAAATGTAAGAGATTCCTGCCAGGAATTGTCATTATTTTTCCCTAATTAAAAGACATTCCTAAAAGGAATCATTAAAGACTCATCAGCAACGAGAAGGAGCTGAAAGGAAAAACAGGAATTTTCCCAAAATAATCAAATTCTACCCCATGGATGCTCCTCCTGGAAATGCCTCTGAGAGCAAAAACAGCTGGAAATCCTTGGAATTATTCTTTGGAATAATGAGGGAGCTGGATGCAGATGAGACAGGCATGATCCAGGGAAAGAAAGGATAACATTTTTGGGGATTCAGGAACCCTCAAAATATGGGGGAAAGGCCGGGTTCATTTTTTGGGGGGATTTCTTTTTTGGGATTTCTGTTTTTGGGATTTCTGTTTTTGGGATTTCTGTTTTTGGGATTTCTTTTTATTATTCTGAAGCAATCCCAAATCTCTTCCCTCCCTGGATGGAAGAGCAGCTCCCTGTGCTCCGATCCGTCACCTCCCACACCAGGGTTTGCTCCCAGCGCTTTCCTGACCCAAATATTCCAGATATTCCCAAATCCCGCTGGACCGGGGCCGCTTTGGAGCTTCCTGATCCCTCAGCTCTCCTGGCTCCCAGTTTCCCAGGGATTTGTTCCCTCAGCTGGGATCTGAACCCTTTGATGTCCCAGAGAAAGTCACACCAAGTTTCCCTGGATTTTCAGCTGCTTTTCCTTCCAGAGGCTCCCAATCCCGATAAGCAGCACCAGGGGATTCCCACGGCAATATCCCGATTTATTCCTCTCCCTGACCCCTTCAATTCCCCGGTTTAGGGTGGGAAAGGCCCATTTGGAATGCTTTGACAATTCCTTGCTCCAGGGATCTCCTGTAAAACACGGAAAACCGAGGAAAAGAATTCCTGCCCAGGGGCCTTGGCACATCCAAGGAGGAATTTTGGGGGTTAAAACAGCAAAAAATGTGGGAATCTCCCGGTTTGAAGCATCCAGGCTCAGGAGGGGATCCGAAGCTTTTGGTTTTCCTGCAAAGGGAACAATCCAAGTTCAGAGGAATGGCCTGGGAAAGCTTTTAGATTCCCAGCTGATCTTCCCTGGAAAAATCTGTTCCCTAAAAAACTTCAGAGGGGTTCCTGGCAGGGAAGATGGTTCCAGTTGAATGGAAAAGACGGGAGAAAAGGGGCCAGGCCATTCCCAGGATGTGCTGTGGGTTCCAGAGGGATCCTGGGCGTTATTCCCGGCACTAAATCCAGAAATTGTGACACAACAGAGGAGCCCAAAGCCATTCCCAAAATCCCTTCCAACCGTTCCTTCTCCAAGCCTCAATTTCCCACTTTTCCTCTCCAGCCGAAGGATACCGGCTGCGTTTCCCCCTGAGGCGTGGCTGGATGTTATCCCAGCGGGAATAGCAGCGTTTTCCGCGGGATACGGAACTGCCCCGGCACAGAGCCGGAATTCCAGCCGGAACGTGCAAGTCCATGGTGTCACCATTCCCAAAAAACCTCCCAGAACGTCGTTTTTAACTTGGATTTTTAATTGAGATCAAATTCCCACTGGGCACCTCGGTCTTTTTCTATGAAGGAACGATTAAAGCAGATGGAATTTCGGAGGTATAAAAACCCCTCAATATTAAAATATTAAAATATTAAAATATTAGAATATTAGAATATTAAAATATTAGAATATTAAAATATTGAAATATTGAAATAGTGAAATAGTGAAATATTGAAATATCAAAATATTGAAATATTGAAATATTGAAATATTGACATATTGAAATATTAAAATATTAAAATAATGAAATATTGAAATATTAAAATATCAAAATATCAAAATATTAAAATATTCCACGCAGTAAAAAAAAGTTCCCAAAACAAAAATATCAAAATATTAAAATATTCCACGCAGTAAAAAAAAGTTCCCAAAACACCCCAAAGAGGCTTTCCCCAAATTTTAAAAATTCCATGTAACCCATGACTTGCAGGCCAGCTAAAGCAGGAGCTCCCTGAAGGAACGACAGCACAAATGGGGGGATTTATTTTTGGGGTTTTTTTGGGGGGGAAAAGAAAATGAAGGAAAACAGGAATTACCCTAAAGGACATTTCAAGATTCTCTCCACCCCAGATATCCATTCCCGAATCGTAAGTTCCTATCTCTTCAAAGTAGTTCCTGTCAATAGAAAACAGGCCACCAGCCATAGTTGGGGTCCTGGGTGGAAAACAAACAGGGAAAAAAACAAAGGAAAACAGGGAAAAACAAAACAAAAAAAAAAAAAAAAAAAAAAAAAAAAAAAAAAAAAGGGAGAAGAGAAAGAAAAAAGAAAAAAAAAAATAAAATACTTTTAAAGGACGCTCTGGAATTTCACATTTCACTGCCTCCCGCATCGCACCACACAGGAATTCCTACGGGAAATGTCTAGGAAAGGGGAATTGGAACTGGGTTTTCCCTGCTCTTCCCAGAAATTCATGGATATCAGGCCCAGCCACGTTCCAAGGAAAAATAATGACAGTTTTTACTGGATTTTTCCTGCATTTCCCCAAAATCCATGGAGCTCGGGCCCAGATACTGTCCAGGGATGAATAAACATAATTTTAACTGGATTTTTCCTGCTCTTCCCCAAAATCCATAAATTTCGGGCCTATCCACACTCCAGGGCTGCTCCCATTCCCATGGATTTTTTCAGAACTGTGATGGGGGGGATTTGGGGTGTTCTGAGGGAGCAGCAGCTCAAATCCAGCTGGGAATGCTTGGGAGGAGTTCCATGGCTCGGCTTTGCCCCAGAGGGAGCCCCAAAGGGTGGAAGGAGCAGGAAAATCGCTGCTGATGGGAGGAGAAATCTCCCAGGGCTTGGCCCCATTTCCCTGGAAATGGCTGCTCCCGGTTTTCCAGAAATCCCAGCCTACACGACACAGGAACACCCAGCCCAGGGATTTCTTTGGGAAGGAACAGATCAATCCCAAATCCCAGCTTTCCTTGGATGTGTGCCAGCACAGCCAAAGGGGTGGGAGCTCAGCTCATCCCTGGAGCCCCAAACCTGCGGAATTTGGTGGAGCAACCCCTAGGAGGAGGATCTGGAGCTGCTCCAGGGCTGGAGCCAGCCTGGGAATGTTCCCCTGGAGAAGGGAAGGATGCAGGGAGAGCTGGGAATGTTCCCCTGGAGAAGGGAAGGATCCAGGGAGAGCTGGGAATGTTCCCCTGGAGAAGGGAAGGATCCAGGGAGAGCTCCGAGCCCCTTGCAGGGCCTGAAGGGGCTCCAGGAGAGCTGGAGAGGGACTGGGGACAAGGGATGGAGGGACAGGAGCCAGGGAATGGCTCCCAGTGCCAGAGGGCAGGGCTGGGTGGGATATTGGGAATTGGGAATTCCTGGCTGGAAGGATGGAGAGGGCCTGGAATAGAATTCCCAGAGCAGCTGTGGCTGCCCCTGGATCCATGGAAGTGCTGGAGCAGCCTGGGATGGTGGGAGCTGTCCCTGGTGGACTGGGATGAGATTTCAGGTCCCTCCCAATCCAAACCTTCTCCTTCCTCCTTCTCCCTCCCTTGGATGGAGACCCTCTTTGCCTGACACAAAATTCCCCATTTTTTCCCAAGACCGAGCCTTTAGGGAATTTGGAAGGATGAAACTGAGCTTCCACAGGATCCCGATGTCCTTTGCCTCCGGACTCCAAACGCTTCCCAAAGCCCTCCCTGACCAAGCTGGCAGTGCCCAGTTTGACGCTGGAAAATTCCCTGATCCTGCTCCAATCCCCAGGCAGCTCCTGGGATAACGGGAATGTTCCCTGGGATGTGAATTCCGTGGGACACAGCCAGAGCTGCAGAGCTCTCCCTGGAAACCAAAGCACCGGGAAGATAAAGGGGCTTAAAGCAGTTTTTAAAGTGGAAAAATGAGTTTTTTCCTCAGCTCTGCCTCTGTTCCCTGCGGGATCAGCTGACAGCTCCTGGGAATTGCAGCGATTGACTCCCATCACCGCCTGATCCTGCTTTATTTGGGAAGCACCATCTGCTTCCCATTCCCACACAGAAAACACGGGAGCAATCCCAGCTTTGCTGCATCCCGGGAAAGCCATCCCCAGATTCCATGATGGGAGAGGAGGGATGGGGAAGGGATTCCAGCCCCGGAGCTCCCATCACCTCATTCTGCTTTTCCCAAGGAATCCCATCCCAGGAATCCAAAGGGCTCCACCAAATCCTACTAAAGCAGAGCACTGTGGATATATCTGGGAATTAGGGATCGGCACCGGGATCAATCCCTGCCGCTCGTCAGAGCCAATTAACTGCAATCAACCCCAAGTTTAATTATTAATAATTAAGATATTAATATAATATCAAGATAATAAGTATCATATCCATAATATCCAGAATTCATTTGGAAAATGTTCCCAGGCACGGGGGGGATTTTTGGGATCTCTTGCAGGGCCAGGGCTTGGATTGATGATCCTTGTGGGTCCCTTCCAGCTCAGGGAATTCTATGATCCTAACACATTCCTGATATTTCATCTTGTAGTTTCCATATTTTTTGACCTTTTTTTTTTTTTTTTTCCTAGGATTTGATCCTGCATTTTCCCTTTCAATCCCTGATTTATACAAAACATTTCCTGGACCTCAATCTGTATTTTTAGTATTTCTAATCCCAGCCTGGAGTGCCTTGAGCTTCAAAAACAGAGGGAAAAGCATGGAAATATCCATGAAAATGGGCTGTGCCGAGCCTGGCAATGGGAAATTCCCAGCTCAGCCTGAATAATTCCACGATTCTGGAATTCTCCGACACCAAAGGCTGAAATTCCTGCGCTAAAACCTGAGATTTTGGATTTAACCCAGCCTAAAGCACCAAGCCTTCCCTCTCAGCTGGTGGTGACAACCGTGGCACCGGTGACATTTGTCCCTCTGCCCCCTTTGATTCCCAACTCCCACTTTATCCAGAGAATTCCCCCAAAATCCCAGCAGAAAACTGATGGGAAAGGAAAAGGAATTAAACAAATCCCGTTATTCTTGTTTTCTCAGTTTTAAGAGCTGATTCCGTGTCTGAGCCGGGATTAATTTTGAGCCCTGCTCCATCTCAAGGTAAGGGAAGAGGGATTGGGATTGAATTCCTTAGGAAATTCCCTGTGCCTGGAATGGCTTCAGGAGGGCTGGAGCTCAGCCCTTAATTAATTAAAAAATTAATTTTCCCGATTTCCATGCACACCTGAGCTTTAATGAAGAGCTGCTGCCCTGGGGAGGAGGTTTTGGATCAGGAGGAAAAAATTCCCTTGGCTCCAAAACTCCCTCCCGTGACAGCCAGAGCCCGTTGGATTTTCCTGGGAATAAACCCGCCCTTCCCTGATTCCAGCCTTTCCAGGACAATCAGGGACAGAAATGGGAATTTGGGAAGCAAATTCAGAAGGTTTTTCCTGCCCTTCCATCCCTTCCTCTCCTGGACTGATCCCTGAGCTGCCCCTCCCTCCACCTGCAGGACTGGAATTCTTCCCACTTCCCACATTCCAATCCATTCCATCCACCCAGGAAACCTTTCCTGGTCTCTTTTGGGATTTTGCAAGAAGCCCTGGCAGCTGTTGGAGCTGAGCAAACATCCCATGGACAGGAATTTATTCCATTTGTTCCCTTTTCAGCTCCATCTCCAATTTTGGAAGAGGTTTTGTTCCACCCTGTGATTCCAGCAATTCAATGGAAGAGGTCAGGACACGCTCCTGGATCATTTTTCCCATCAATCCCATTTTCCAAGCAATAAACCAGGAATTTAAGTGCAAATCATTGGGATTCAAAGCTCAAAAATGCTCAGAAATCCTTTGGAATATTTGCCTTAAATCCTGAAAAACTGGGAATAAAAATCCGTTCACAGCAAATTCACAGGGGGAGCTGAACAGGCAGAAATCTTTGGAATTCCTGAGCCTTGGAGCTGAACAGGCAGAAATCTTTGGAATTCCTGGACGTTGGGAAGAGGATGGGATGGAGTTTGCCCAACCGTGGCCTCCTGTCCCCTCTCCCGCCCCGCTCCGGCTCCATTTCCCCACTTTTGGGTCGTTTCTCCCATTTTTTGGTCCCTTTTTCCCAGTTTTTTGTTTCTTTCCCCTCTTTTTTCCCCTTCCTTTCATTTTTCCCCATTTTATGACATTTCTCCCCGTCGTTTCTCCCATTTTTTGGTCCCTTTTTCCCAGTTTTTTGTTTCTTTCCCCTCTTTTTTCCCCTTCCTTTCATTTTTCCCCATTTTATGACATTTCTCCCCGTTTCATGACATTTCTCCCCATTTTATCACATTTCTCCCCATTTCATGACATTTCTCCCCATTTCATGACATTTCTCCCCATTTCATGACATTTCTCCCCATTTCATGACATTTCTCCCCATTTCATGACATTTCTCCCCATTTTATCACATTTCTCCCCATTTCATGACATTTCTCCCCATTTTATCACATTTCTCCCCATTTCATGACATTTCTCCCCGTTTCATGACATTTCTCCCCATTTCATCACATTTCTCCCCATTTCATCACATTTCTCCCCATGTTTCACTCTTTGCTGCAGCAGCGAGGAGACGCCGGGGTTGGGGTTGAGCCCCACGATTCCGCCTCCGATCCCGCAGCGGAATTTTGGGAATGGGGAGGGATTTCTGGGAGCAGGGGAGCACTGACCTGACGGGCAGGGTGCGGTCCCCTTTCCTGCGATCCATCTCCCTCTGGGGCACGGGATACCAGCGGAAATTCAGCTTCCAGTTGAAGCCCCCGTAGGTCATGTCCGAGCCCGCCATGTACTCGAAGGTGTCGTCGCTGATCACGTCGATGATGGGACACACCACGGTTTTCCTGCGGGAAAAACCAAAAACACCGGGAATTTGGGGGTTGTGGCGGTGTTTGGGCATGGGGGGAGGTGGAGGGGGAAAAGGGGGAAAAGGAGGTGGGAATAAAATGAGGGAGGGGGGAAATGGGAGGGGAAATGAGAAGGGAAAAGGTGGGAATGGGAGGGAAAGATGGGAAAGAGGAAAAGGAAGGAAAAGAGGGAGGGATAAGGAGGGGAAATGGGGACAAAAAGGGGGAATAAAATGAGGGAGAAGAGAGAGAAAGGAGGGGAAGAAGGAGGGGGAGGAAAGGGGGGAATGGGAGGGGAAAAAGAAGGAAAAAGGGGGAAGGGAAAGCAAAGAGGGGGAGGAGAGGGAAAAGAGTAAAATAGGGAAAGGGGAAAAAGGGGGAAAGGGGAGAAAAAGGGAGAAGGGGAAAGGGAGGAAAAGGAAAAAAAGGGAAAAGGGGGGGAAGAGGGAAAGGAAAAGAGGGAAATGGAGGGAAAGAAAGAAGACAAAAAAGGGGGGAGAGCTGGGGAAGAAGGAAAAAAGGAGGGAAAGGGGGAGGAAAAAAGGGAAAAAAACTATGGGAGAAAAAAAAAGAAAAAAGAAGGAAAAAAGGGTGCAAATTTCCATGAGTTCAGGAGATCAGAGAGAGGAGCTGTTCCTGGTAAAAACCAGGGAGAAAGCCTCCTTTGGATGGGAGAGATCCAGAACCTGGGGCAAGCTGCTTCCACATTTATTCGGGAATGAGATTTTAAAAACAAAAATTTTAAATCATTGCATTTCAATTGATTAAATTTTTAAAAGAAATTAATGAAAAAAATTAAAAATATATTTTAAAAATAAATTATTTTAATTAAAATATGCATTTGTATGTATATGTATGTTTATACGTATATTTATATTTATATTTATATGTATGTTTATATGTATTTGTATATTTACATGTATATTTATATGTATATGTATATTTACATTTATATGTATATTTATATGTATATTTATATGTATATGTATGTTTATGTTTATATGTTTATTTGTATGTATATGTATATTTATTAAAAAAAATATTTAAAATTATCTTCATTCCAGCTCAGTGAATCCTTTCAGTCCCTGTTTTTCAGCAGGCAGGGAAGGGCCTGGAGCAGATCCCTGCCTCTGGAGCCGGGAATTCCTCACCTGTCCTCCTTGATCCTGGCCAGCAGCGGCTCCAGCCAGCCCAGGGTGCACTCGCAGTGGGCATCCAGGAATGTGATCACCTGGCCCCGGGAAGCCGCTGCCCCCCGGAGCCGCGCCCGGATCAGCCCCGACCGCTGCTCCATCCGCAGGATTTTGACAGGCACTTCCAGCTTTTTCACGTAATTCTCCAAGGACGCCTTCAAGAACTCTGCCAGGTTTGGGGGGAGACAAAGGCCAGCGGGATTTTTAGGGAGGTTTCATTCCGAGGTGCTCACGGAACCGCCTGGAGCATCCCAAGGGGGTGGGAATGAGCTGGGCTTTGAGGGCCCTTCCAGAACCATTCCCTGAGGCCAGGATCATATCTCGGGAATTTCAAATAAAGCACAATCACTTCCTTGGAATTAACCAGCAACCACAAAACAAAGACAATTTGCTGCGGGTTCAATCCAAAAATAAAATGGCTTTTTTTGGGATGGGTTTCCCCATCAGAGCTCTTTGCATGCTTTTAGGAAAAACGGGAATTACTTGGCTCAAATCCTCCTCCACCCTTCTGGCACAGGGAATCATTAATGAGCAGGGAAACCCAGGCAGTAATTAGGGTTCAATTAATGCTCCATGGGGCAGAACTGAAGGATGGAGCAGCTGCAAGGCTGAGTTTGCCATTGGGCTGTTCCAGGATCCTTTTTCATTCCAGTGATTCCATTTAAGGAACTTGACGGGATTCTTTTTCCAGGGAGTCCCAGTTCCACGGGCAGAGTTTGCTTTTTAAAGTCTGGGGTTACAGCAGAAATGAAAAGGCAAAAGGAAAATGAAGGGTGAAGGAAATGAGGCACGAAGAGCAGCAATAAAGGCAGAGCTGGAATGAGATGGTCCCTTCCAACCCAAAGCACTCTGGAATTCCATGGGATTGACTTAATGGGGATATTGAGGAAAACCTGAAACATGGAATGAGGAGGGTGGAGAGCCAGGAAGGAAAGGATTGACCTTTCCAGGAATAACAACTGCACCGAGCTGGATCTGATCCAGGGCCTGAAGGGGCTCCAGGAGAGCTGGAGAGGGACTGGGGACAAGGGATGGAGGGACAGGAGCCAGGGAATGGCTCCCAGTGCCAGAGGGCAGGGATGGATGGGATATTGGGAATTAGGAATTCCTGGCTGGGCTGGAATTCCCAGAGCAGCTGTGGCTGCCCCTGGATCCCTGGAAGTGCCCAAGGCTGGGATGGACGTGGGGACAGTGGGAGCTGCCTCAGGTGCCCTTTAAAGCTCTCCTCCAAGCCAAACCATCCTGGCCATTCCAAAGCCATTCCATAACTCCTTCCCCCCTCTCCCCAGCCCTCCCCCAGCCGCAGGGACGGGAATGTGGGACGGGAGCGGGCGGCCCGGCCCCACCTCTCTCGCTGGCATCGTCCACCAGGACGATCTCGGCCAGCAGGCGCGGCGGGGAGCGCTCCAGGACGCTGTGGATGGTGCGGAGCAGCGTGCTCCAGGCCTCGTTGTGGAACACGATCACCACGCTGGTGTTGGGCAGCTCCTCCGGGTACACCTTGCTCTTGCACCTGCCCGAAAACAGCCAGAAAACGGAGCTGGAGGAGCGGCCCGAAGGAGAGCTGCGTCTTTCCGGGATGGGTGAAGGGGCTCGGAAGGAACCGCGGAGCTGTGACCACATCCAGGGATGGTGGGGATGATGAGCCAAGGGGGAAAGGGGAGATCCGGAGCCTGGGATTCCAACGGCTCTGAGGCAGGACGGAAAAGGGGCCATGGCACTGCTCCAGAGGGGAGATTCCACATCCAGGGAGTTCAGGACGATGGGGATGGATTAAGCCAGAGACTGGAATTCCAAGGGCTCTGAGGATGTGGCAGCCTGGAAAAGAGGCCTGGAAGCAGCCATGGCACTGCTCCAAGGGGAACCTGCCACATCCAGGTGGTTCCAAGGAATAAATGAGGGGAAAACCGGAGATCCAGAGCCTGGAATTCCAAGGGCTCTGAGCATGAGACAGGCTGGAGAAGGGGCTCCTCTCCCTCTCCCATTCCTGACATTCCCAGCAAGGACCCGGCTCAACCCCACGGATCCGACGTCAGCCCCGCGCTGTTCAATCAGAAATTCCAGGGACAGCCATTCCCTGGATTTGGCTCCGGGGAGGTCTGGAGCACACAGGGAACGGCCTGGGATGAGCTGCCAAGGAGCAGCAGAGCTGATCCAGGACTGATCCACCTGGAATGTTTAAATCCCCGCCTGTTTTCCCAAAGTTCCCACACAAGGGTCAAACCCTGCCGGTTTAAACCATTCCATTGTTTGGGGTATTTATGGGAAAAGCGGGAATGTGGGGCACCTCCATGAAAAATGGGAACTTGCCATGGGTTTTTCAAAGTTAATCCATCAAAAGCCTCCAAATCCCCCTCCCAATCCCCATTTCCAGAGGTCCGTGGGAAAAGTGGGATCCCAGATTTCCTGCAGATTCTCTGGGAGAAGATATCACGGGAAGGAGGTGAGGGCCCTTCCAAGGCAGGCTGAAAACTCATCCTTGGAAAAAAAAAATCCCTGCAAAATAACCCTGGAATTTATCTGGGCTTTTATCCACACTGCTCCAGCATTTCCTGCAGTTCCAAGCCCCTTGAAACCAGGAATAAAGGAAATTTTAAAAAATCCCCTTTGGAACAATTTTCCTGAAATAAAATCTGTTTTCTCCCCCATCCAGGGATGTCTTGGGGGCCCCTCTGAGGCTGCCAGGGAGGAAAATCTGTTTTCCATGATTTTCACACTAATTAGGGAGCTGACAGCTCCTCTTTTCCAATTATATCTCCTGATCCAAACAGCTGCTCCGAAGGCAGCTGCAGCCCACGTGGAAAACATGGAAGGGAGAGCGAGGATTGTGCTTCTGGAAGGGAAATTTTCAGATATTCTCAGAATAAAGGAGAACTTCAACCATCCAAGTGTGTCCATGTCCATGAAAAACATTCCAGCCCTTACGGATATTCCATGGAGTGACAGGAATGCTGGCATTGCCATCACTCATCCATGGAATCGGAGAATCCCAGGATGGGTTGGGATGGAAGGGACCTTAAATCCCATCCCAGCCCTGACATGGGCCCCTCCCACTGCCCCAGGCTGCTCCAATCTGGCCTTGGACATTCCAGAGATCCAGGGGCAGCCTCAGTTTCCCTGGGAAAGCTGTGCCGGGATCTCCCCACCCTCTGAGGAAGGGATTTTTTATCCACCACGACTTAGAGCTGGAAAAACCCCAGATCCAAGAGGTCCTGGTGCAGAACAAATGGATCAGGTGTGGCCACCCCAAAATAAACCAATTTTCCCTCCCCTGAGGGCTGAATTTCAGGAATAACAAATTTTGGTCTTGCCTAAAAATCCAGTCAAGAGTTCTGAGGAGGGAAGGATTTTCCCAATTAAAGGGAGTTTTCCCACAGATCCACGGCCAGCCCTGCACTGCTCCTTTCCCCCAGCCAGGATCACATCCCAGTGTTTTTTCCTTTGGAGAATCGCCACAAAACTCCAGCTCCTTGTTTAACCCCGGCTGCTGTTGCAGAAATCCCAATGTTCCTGCTCAGCCCCGGATGTTCCCACAGCCAGGAGCCAATTCCAGCCTCAATCTCCAGGAAAAAATCCAATTAGGATGCTCCAGCAGTCCGTGGAATGGCACTTGGAGCCTCGCTCATCCAGAAAAGATTGAGGATGGATTTCTTCCCTCACTGGAGAAAATCCTTGGGAATGAAACAAGGCTTTCCCTGGTGAGTTAAGCTGGTTTTAAGGTTTAATCAATAGCTCCCAATTAGAGCTGGCTCTGATTAAAATCTCCAGCCTGGCCATTTCCAACAGGACCCCGGAAATCCAGGGACATTCCCTGAGAGAAACCTCGGGATGGAACAGGAAGCAAATGAAATTCCATGGATCAGCTGGAATGAAACCATCAGTCCTGGGGCAGGGATAGCAGGGAGCCAGCAACAGGAGGGGGAATTTGTGGGATCCTGATGAGGAATCCCATTCCCACAAAATCCCATTGACTCTGGAGCCAGGCTGGGAGAGCTGGGAATGTTCCCCTGGAGAAGGGAAGGATCCAGGGAGAGCTGGGAATGTTCCCCTGGAGAAGGGAAGGATCCAGGGAGAGCTGGGAATGTTCCCCTGGAGAAGGGAAGGATGCAGGGAGAGCTGGGAATGTTCCCCTGGAGAAGGGAAGGATCCAGGGAGAGCTCCGAGCCCCTTGCAGGGCCTGAAGGGGCTCCAGGAGAGCTGGAGAGGGACTGGGGACAAGGGATGGAGGGACAGGAGCCAGGGAATGGCTCCCAGTGCCAGAGGGCAGGGATGGGTGGGATATTGGGAATTGGGAATTCCTGGCTGGGAGGGAGGGGAGGGCTGGGCTGGATTTCCCAGAGCAGCTGTGGTTGCCCCTGGATCCCTGGCAGTGCCCAAGGCTGGGCTGGAGCAGCCTGGGACAGTGGGAGGGGTCCCTGCCATCGCAGGGCTGGGATGGATGAGCTTTTAACTCCCAGCCCATCCCATCCCAATTCCCAGCATTCCCAGGATGGAATCTTAACTCCCAGCCCATTTCCCAATTCCCAGCACTCCGGGGATGGGATTTAAGCTCCCGGCCCATCCCAATCCCCAGGATTCCCGGGATCTCACCCGTCCAGCCGCACGTCGGGCAGGCTGCGGTTCAGGGCGATGCGGTCGCTGGCCAGGAGGTTGAACTGGTTGATCTTGAACAGCTCCTTCATCTTCTCCTGCTCCTCCTTGGGAATGAGCACGGCCCTGCCCATCTCCCCCGGGCCCTCCTGGCCCCGGGAAATAACGGCTGGAAAATGGAACAGCAGGAGCTGCTTTGAGCACCTGGGAATTGGATTTATCCTTCAGGAAACTTCTGCTTTTCCACAAGGAATGCTGGAAATCCAACCCCCGTTTTCCCTGCTCCGCTGGGAGCTTTTATCCCCCTCTGGATACAAGAACATCCAGTTTTATTCCAAGATGATTGAACCCCCTGGATTTGGTCCCTCCCACTATCCCAGGCTGCTCCAAGCCCTGTCCAAGCTGGCCTTGGCCACTTCCATGGATCCAGGGCAGCCACAGCTCCTCTGGACACCCTCACAGGGAATTCCCTGGATCCCTGGAATGGCCCCAGGCCAGGCTGGACAGGGCTTGGAGCCCCCTGGAATAGCAGGAGCTTTCCCTGCCCATGGAATGGGATTTACGCTCCCTTCCAACCCCAACCATTCCCCAAACCGCAAACACAAACTCGGACAACACCAACACCAGCAGATCCCGGGATTTCCTCTGCTGGGCAGAGCCCCGGACGGGAGGCCAGGGCTGAGGAATCCCGGCTGGGCGCTCACCGCGCAGCGCCGGGAGCAGGGAGCGCTCCTTGGGCCGGTCGCACTTGTTGCACTCGCTGAAGTAGAGCAGCAGGAAGACGTCCAGCAGCACCCAGAGCAGGGACGTGGCCAGCACCACCCGGCAGTAGCCAAACCTCCTCATGGCTCCGGGGAGCGCGGCGGGATCACAGCCCCACGGCACGGATCCAGCAGGGAGGCAGGGAGCGGCATCCCGCTGCGGGCACAGGAAAAGCGGATTTTCATGGATTCGCGGGTGTTCGTCCTTCGATCGGGAGTTGTTTGATACCCAAACATCCGCTCTCCTCAGGGAAACATTTCCATTTCCAATTTTTCCAGTTTTTCTCCTGCCAAAATGTTTCAGGCTCCACCTCGTGACTGCCAAAGATTCCTTGGAAAAGGGCACGGCAGTCACTGATCCATGGATTTGGGTTCCTGCCCCAATTAGGGAGTTTGGAAAACAAATCTAAAGGTGAGGCCTCTCCAAAGGGTGGAGCCAGACTGTGGGAGCTGGGAATGTTCCCCTGGAGAAGGGAAGGATCCAGGGAGAGCTGGGAATGTTCCCCTGGAGAAGGGAAGGATCCAGGGAGAGCTGGGAATGTTCCCCTGGAGAAGGGAAGGATCCAGGGAGAGCTGGGAATGTTCCCCTGGAGAAGGGAAGGATCCAGGGAGAGCTGGGAATGTTCCCCTGGAGAAGGGAAGGATCCAGGGAGAGCTCCGAGCCCCTTGCAGGGCCTGAAGGGGCTCCAGGAGAGCTGGAGAGGGACTGGGGACAAGGGATGGAGGGACAGGAGCCAGGGAATGGCTCCCAGTGCCAGAGGGCAGGGATGGATGGGATATTGGGAATTGGGAATTCCCAGAGCAGCTGTGGCTGCTCCTGGATCCCTGGCAGTGCCCAAGGCCAGGCTGGATTTGGGATCTGGAACAGCCTGGGATGGTGGGAGCTGTCCCTGGAGGACTGGGATGGGATTTAAGGTCCCTTCCCACCCAAACCATTCCATGATCTCCAGCCTGGCTGTGATCTGTAATTAGAGGTCTGTAATTAACCAATTAACGCCTCCCACTCACCGTCAGCGCCTGCATTCCAGACTCCGAGTCCTGCTCCAGCCATGCTCCCACAGAATTCCCTCAGCACTGAACCGCTGGATAATTTTCCAAGTGCCTGGAAAAGAAAAGGAGAAGAAAGTCCCATCACTTTTCTGTGTTTCCTAAAACACAAAAAAATTCCTTCCAATTAAAAATCCCTCCTCGGCTTTATCCACATTTCAGCTTCCTTATCCTGCCCTGCTCAGCTCCTCATTCCCAAGTGGGATCTTTCCCTTTTCCATCCCTTTTTAATTGGTGTTCTCCCAAGCCAAGGGGGTGGAAGAGCTGGAAGGATGGAAATCAATCCAATAAATGATTTATTTAATTATTCTCGCAGCATTTCTGCACCAGCTCCTCGTTAATAACAATTTCCATCTGTCCCAAATATCAACCAATGGCTGTTCCTGCTGAGGGATTCCCAGGGAGCTGATTTAAAATTCCAGGAATTGCTGGTCCGGGATAACACATTCCATTTGCACGGGAATGCGCAAACGGGAATGGTTTCATTGCAGGAAAAAGAAATGAGGAAGGAAAAAACAAATTTCCCAGCAAAACTGCGGATGCTCCATCCCGGGAAGTGCCCAAGGTCGGAAGGGCTTGGGAAGGATTCCCTGGGAATATGGGACGAGATTTGCACCCCAAAGCATCCCAGGATGCTGTGATTCCATAAAATCCCCTCCTCCAAACCTCCCAAAGGAAGAAGCTTCCAAAAAACAAAAATAAGATTTAATTGAAACTCAGCCTCACAAGGTTTGCAGGAAGAGGAGGAAAGGAAAAATCCCGAGGTTCTGAGCTCCCACTTCCTGGAATAAAGCCAATTTTACCCCATGATCCTGCAGCAAAGCACAGGGAAATTCCTGCCCCAAACCCTGCAGGAAAAGCGGGATTTGGGAACAGGAAACAGGAGGAAAAACGAGGAATCCTTGAAGTGACCCCACCCAATGCTGTGGGCGGGAATTCCGGAGGTTGAGAATCCAAGGGAACGACAATTCCAGATTCCAATCCTTGATTTGCCTTTTCCCTGGATTAAAAATTCCGAGTTTCCTGCGGATTGTTCAGGAATTCTTCCTGGAACCCTCCAGCCCCTGGCTCTCCCCACAGCCAGGCCATGCCCTGAGCTGAATCTCTTGGGCCTCAAAGGCTCAGAATCCATCACCGCTCCCCAAAAACCTCCTCATTCCCGTTCCCAAGACCCCTGCAAGGGAAATAAACATGGATACGGCAAAATTCCCAACTCTTGAGCTGTATTTGCCCACCAGGGCCGGGAATTCAATTCCTTAGTGAAATCTGGGATAATTTCGGGCTTTTTTCTGGGCTGAAAATGTGGAAACTGCAGCAGCACAGGGTGGGGGTGGCAAATTAAGGTGATTTCAGAATAAACTCAGCGGAATTTTGGGGAATTGTGGAATTCCAGACTGGTTTGGGTGGGAAGGGACATGAAGGATTATCCCATTCCACCCCCAGGGACCCCTCCCACCATCCCAGGCTGTTCCAGACTGGCCTGGAGCACTTCCAGAGATCCAGGGGCAGCCACAGCTGCTCTGGGAATTCCAGCCCAGCCAGGAATTCCCAATTCCCAATCTCCATTCCATCCCTGCCCTCTGGCACTGGGAGCCATTCCCTGGCTCCTGTCCCTCCATCCCTTGTCCCCAGTCCCTCTCCAGCTCTCCTGGAGCCCCTTCAGGCCCTGCAAGGGGCTCGGAGCTCTCCCTGGATCCTTCCCTTCTCCAGGGGAACATTCCCAGCTCTCCCTGGATCCTTCCCTTCTCCAGGGGAACATTCCCAGCTCTCCCTGGATCCTTCCCTTCTCCAGGAGAACATTTCCAGCTCTCCCTGGATCCTTCCCTTCTCCAGGGGAACATTCCCAGCTCTCCCTGGATCCTTCCCTTCTCCAGGGGAACATTCCCAGCTCTCCCAGCCTTCCTGGCCTGATTCCAGGAGGTCAAAGCCCTTCATTCCCAAACGGGCACTTCCTGGAAATCCGGCTCAGCAGAGCCCTGAGCTGCTCCTTTAATCCTCCGTCCCTCCTCGGGCTCGTGACGGATGAAGTGTCCTAATCCTCATCAGGACAGGAATAACCCGGGGCTGGAAATTCCCAAAGAAAATCCCCAAAAGCCCCGGAGGAATTGTCCAGTTTCTCACCCGGCTCTTTGACTGATTCAGGAAAGCTGGAATTCCCGAGTCCATCCCGGGCACGCGATTCCCAATCCGTAATTAACCCCAGGATTACTCTGACCTCGGTGTGACCTCAGACTCCAGCTTCTCCTGGCCACCCGCGTTCCCGGGAATGCCAAACCCTGCCCACATCCTGCTGCTGGGGTAAGGAAGGCTCCAAAATCCACATTATTACCAGGGAAGCGTTGTTCCCGACCTGAACATTCCCATTTTTATGGAATGGATCCCCAGCCAGGCTGCCCGGTTTGTCCAGGGTGAGGAGCCCAGCTCTGGGATCGCTCCAGGGATTTGTTTTCCCTGCTCCAAGGGGCTCCCAGGGAGCATCCAGGAATCCATTCCCACAACGAGGGAACTTCCCGTGCCCTGGTCACAGCAGAAGGACGGAGGGAGAGGAATAAAACCATCCCAGAATCCACGCTGGCTCTCCCAGGGGATCAGAGCTCAGCCATGGAAACGGAACCCAAAATATTCCCAGGAATCTGTGGCCGTTTGTGCTGCTGCTCCGACCGAACGGAGAACCAAACCTCTCCCAGCCGTCCCCAATTCCTGGGAACAACTCCCGCTCCTCTTCCCGACATCCCTCGGGAAGCAGCGAGGGAAAAACTCCCCGAGGAGGGTTTGGCAAAGCGCCTTGGCCGGGTTTTATTTCCATGGAAAACCTCTGGAGCCAGGCACATCCCAGAGACGGGGAATGCATGGAATCACCTCCCGCCCCAGAGCTGAATTCCTGCCTTTCTGTTCATTTTCCAGGGAATCTCCCGTTTGCCGCGAGAGCCCAAATCCAGCACCTCTCCCACTGAAGGGATTTGGGCTGGAATCGGATCCTTGGGATGGCCTCTGGAATGCCACGGATCCCAGACAGCAGAATTCCAGAGGTTCCAGATGGAAATCCCTGCTGGAAAAGCTAAAGCGACCCCCGGCGCTCGGGGATGCTCCTGTCCGCGGCAGAGGAATTGGAATTTTTAATGGAATTTTTAATGGAATTTTAATGGAATTTTTAATGGAATTTTAAATGGAATTTTTAATGGAATTTTTAGGAAATCTGGGGGCAGAACCTCTCCAGGTTTTGAGTTTGAGGAGGGTTTGAGGCTGCCAGGACTGCGAGAAATTCCCAGGCAGGAATGAAACCACCCACAAATCCATTTCTCCACCTAAAAAAGGCAGAATCCTCACGCAGAATTCCCAGCTTTTCCCTCCGAGAGATGAAAGGATTCTTCCTCATATCCCAGGATTTACCACCACAAAAACAGAATTTGTCCAGGAAGAGAAAACTCCTCCTTTTCCCCGTTCAAAACTGGATTTTAGGGCCACGCTGGTCTAAGCAAATCTGGATATAAAATTCTCCCTCCAAATTCCATCCTTTAATTCCATGAGCAGCTCATTAATTCATGGATGAGGAAGAACTCTTAATTCCAGAGCTGTCAAACTCCGAGATCCATCCAGGAAAGCTCTTGCACATTTAGTAAGGAATAAAAATAGGGGGAAACAAAAGGAAATAAAAGAAGAGGATTTTGGGTCCCTTTAGTCAGCGTTTTGTCTTTTCAGAATTCCGCTTTTTCCGCCTCTCTCCTCTCCTGAAATTTATTAATAGCCCCGTTCTTCCCTTGGGAATTCATTCCCGTGACTCAGGAATTCAAGTGGAAAAGCCTCATTAATTCCTCTCATCCCAGATCCCGGGAGGAAAACCTGTCCTGGCTCAGGGGGGGCTTTGTTCAGGCTCCAGCCCCGAAATTCCCGGCTCCAGCCCTGAAATTCCCGGCTCCTCCTCCCCAGTTCCATCCTCAGCAGCTCCAGAGCTGCTCAGCCTGGGAATGGTGGGAAATTCGGGAAGAGTTTACCTGGGTTTATTCCCTCCTTTCAAGGCCTGGGGCTGTGCTGGGGCAAAGCGCTGGAATCCTGCGGATAATGCAAATAAAAATTCCTAAAAATCCTCAGAATCTTCCTGGGATAGCACAGAACTGTGGAGTGGTTTGGGAAGCGAGGTTAATCCATGGGCAGAGACAGCTCCCGCTATCCCAGGCTGCTCCAAGCCCCTTCCAACCCGGCCTCAGACACTTCCAGGGATGGAGCAGCCGCAGATCCTCTGGAAGAACCAAAACGTTGGGAATTATCTCCCAACTATGGGGAGACAGCTCCTTTTCCCAAATCCTCCTCCCCCATTCCTTTGCTCACCAACTTCCCAAATTCCTCCTTCCCAGCCAGGCCTGGCGCCTCCCATTCCCAAACCTCCGGGATTTCTCCTGGAGAAAAGGAGATTCCAGGATTTCTCCCCCTTGGAAGAGCCTGGTGGAGGCCGCCCGGAAGCTGCCGCTGTTTGTTCCCATTCCAGAGCTGGGATCTCCGGCCTGGAGGAATTTTCCAGCTCTTCCAACACAAGGAAACGTTGGAGAGAGCCAGAGCGAGCTGAGGAGCGGGAAATCCGGGAATGGCCACATTCCCAAGGCTGCCGGAGCTCCAGGAACGTCGGGATTGTTGGGGGGTTGGATCAGTGAGCCCTCCCAGCTCCGATATTCCAGGATTCTGGGATTTGAGGAATCCATGGAGCAGGGCCCCGCAAGCAGAATTCCATCCCTTTTCCCCAGCCATAAATCCGGAAAGATCCCAAATTCCTGAGCACCAAAATCCCTCAAAACAACCAAGGAATTCTTCCAGTCCTCACAAAAGGAATCTCCCCTGTGCATTCCCGGGTTATTTCTGCCCCAGCTCCCGGGTTTTTGAGGGAAGAGGATTTGTCGGGATTTCGCTCCGTGGGGTTGAAATTCAAACAGGAAAATTTCGATTTTCCCGTGTCCGTGAAAACGCAGCCACTGGAGCTCAGTTCTCCCACATTCCCAGGCAAGGTTTTCCTTGGATTCACCCGGTGGACAAAACCCTCTGGAATTTTCTGACTTTAAAGGAAAACGCCAAAGGAGAAATTCCCAATCCCGTATTTCCAAGCAATTTCGCTTTTCCTTCGTTTTCCCATCAGCCACCAGCTGGATTCCCGCATTCCCACATTTCCCAAACCCCAAAATTCCATGGAATACTCGGAGAAAGTAACTCCATCCCATTCCACACATTCCCACATTTCAGTCTCGCCTTTCCCTACGGAATTCGGCTCTGGGGGTGCAGATGGTGGGAAGAGCTCCGGCATCTCTCGTTCCCAAAAATCCGGGAGCTGTTTCTGGAGCAGGTGGGAAGAAGGTGGGAACAGACAGAAAATCCCAGAACCTCCCGGCTTCGTTTGGGAAAAAAAATGACCCAGATTTTTCCATTAAAAAAAGCAGATTTTTACCCTAAAAAAGAAGATTTTTAGACAAGAAAATCACTTTTTTTCCCCCCAAGAAAAGCAGATTTTTTCACAATAAAAGGAGTTTTACTCAATTTACTCCAAAAAACTCAGGTTTTAATACAAGAAAAGCAGATTTTTACCCAAAAAATGAGGTTTAGCCACATGAAAAGGAGATTTTTACCTAAAAAAGAAGATTTTTAGACAAGAAAATCACTTTTTTTTTTCATAATAAAAGGAGTTTTACTCAAATTACTCCAAAAAAGGAGGTTTTGATACAAGAATATCAGATTTTTACCCCAAAAATGAGGTTTTGACACAAGAAAAGCAGATTTTTACCCCAAAAAGCAGATTTTTAGACAAGAAAATCACTTCTTTTCCCAAGAAAAGCAGATTTTTACACAATAAAAGGAGTTTTACTCAATTTACTCCAAAAAATGAGGTTTTGACACAAGAAAAGCAGATTTTTACCCAAAAAAATGATGTTTAGCCACAGGGAAAGCAGATTTTTGCCCCAAAAAGCAGATTTTTAGACAAGAAAATCACTCTTTTTTTCACAATAAAAGGAGTTTTACTCAATTTACTCCAAAAAATGAGGTTTTGACACAAGAAAAGCAGATTTTTACCCAAAACAAGCAGATTTTTATACAAGAAATCACTTTTTTTTCCCAAGAAAAGCAGATTTTTACACAATAAAAGGAGTTTTACTCAATTTACTCCAAAAAAAGAGGTTTTGACACAAGAAAAGCAGATTTTTACCCAAAAAATGAGATTTAGCCACAAAAAAGGAGATTTTTACCCAAAAAACCAGATTTCCAAAAAAAGAGGTTTTGACACAAGAAAAGCAGATTTTTACCCAAAAAATGAGATTTAGCCACAAAAAAGGAGATTTTTACCCAAAAAACCAGATTTTTAGACAAGAAAATCACATTTTTTTCACAATAAAAGGAATTTTACTCAATTTACTCCAAAAAAAGAGGTTGTGATACAAGAAAAGGAGATTTTTACCCAAAAAACCAGTTTTTTAGACAAGAAAATCACTTTTTTTTCCCAAGAAAAGCAGATTTTTACCTCAAAAAGGGAGGTGAAAATCACTTTTTTTTCCCAAGAAAAGCAGATTTTTACCTCAAAAAGGGAGGTTTTGACACAAGAAAAGCAGATTTTTACCCCAAAAAAAGAGGTTTTGACACAAGAAAAGCAGATTTTTACACTGGTATTTTCCTAAAGCGTGGTTTCATTGCTAACACAAAACACCAAGGGAGGAAATGAGAGGAAATTTTTAAAAGTACCAAAAAAATACCAAAAAACACCTAAAAAACCCCTTAAAAACACCAAAAATAACCCTTTAAAATACTTTTAAAAACCCTTAAAACGTAAAAAAAAACCCTAAAAAATACCCTTGAAATACCTTAAAAATAACTAAAAAATACTTTAAAAAAACCTTTAAAACACCAAAAAAATACCTAAAAAATGCCTAAAAATACCAAAAAAGCCACAAAAAATCCCAAAAAACCCCAAAAAATACCTAAAAAAATACCTTAAAAAATCCCCCCAAAAAAACCCAAAAAACCCTTAAAAACCCCTTAAAAATACCTAAAAAATACCTTAAGAATACCCTAAAAATACTTTTTAAATGCCAAAAAAAAAACCCAAAAAGCCCCAAAAAATACCTTAAAAATACCAAAAAACCCCCAAAATATACATAAAAAATACCTTAAAAATGCCTTAAAAATACCTTAAAATCCCCCCAAAAAAACCACAAAAAAACCCTTAAAAATACATAAAAAATACAAAAAAATTACCTAAAAAATACCTTAAAAATACCTAAAAAGCCTCAAGTTTTAAGGCCTCGTCTCCCCTTCAAAGCCCAGCAGCCAAGAGTTAAAATAATCTTTGCCTCCCTCATTCCCGGCGTGCTTTAATCCCCCGTTAATCTTTCCTGCCGCTATTCCCAGCATCCAAATAAATTCCAGCCGTTATTTTCCGCCAGAGAGCGGAAACCGAGCGGGTTCTTTTCCCTTTCCTCATCCCGGCTGATGCCATTTCTCCTGGAAAAATGGAAAATAAACTCGATTTTTCAGCTGGGAAGCGGATTTTATCCGGTTCCTGGGAAAGCAGCTGGCATCCCAACTCTAGGATTTTCTGGGAAAAATCCCAGTTTTTAACAGCCGTGCCAAATCCCGTTTCCAGCACTCCTGTTTTCCTGTCATTTAAAGGGAATTTCCATTGAAAAATTCAGTGGATCTCACTCCGGGCTGGGAAAAACCACCGGGAAAAACGGGAATCAGCCAGGCTGAGGCGCTTCCAGGGAAACCTGCGGCTGGAAAAGCCCCAGACGCGATTCCAGGGAATCCTGATGCCCCAAACGCTATTCCAGGGAATCCTGATAGTCCAAACCGCTATTCCAGGGAATCCTGATAGTCCAAACCGCTATTCCAGGGAATCCTGACAGCCCCAAACGCTTTTCCAGGGAATCCTGATGCCCCAAACGCTTTTCCAGGGAATCCTACGGTTGAAACCCCCAACTCAAAACGTTATTCCAGGGAATCCTGCGAGGCCAAAGCGCTATTCCAGGAAAACCCATGGATGAAAGGGATAAAAAAGCCGCTCCGTCCTACCATAAGCAGCCTCCGCGTGCGGTTTTCCAGGGATATTTGGATCCTCCCTCGCGGCCCAGCCGGTGGCGCTTCCCTGGGGAGCTCCGGAGCAGATCCGGGGCCGGGATTGGGCCGGGATTGGGCCGGGATTGGGCCGGGATTGGGTCGGGGCCGGTCTCACATCGCTGGCCCGGCCCGGCTGAGCCCGGATTAAGCAAAGCTCCCTGGAAAGGCGGGATCAGGGAGAGAAACGGGGGGAGCGCAGGGCAGCGGAGCCGGGAGCGGGGGATCCCTCGGGA